TCTGCACCAGGAAGGTTTCCTCTTTTGGCAAGGTTAACAGCAAGCTCTAAATTATTCAACTGCAACAGCGTTCAGAATGAAATTTTAAACAAACAGCTCAATTCACTTTCAGAGCTAACACAAAGAACTGGAATTTAGACTTACTTGTCCACTGACAAATGGTACAATTGTTGCTTCATTTACAGTAGCAAGCAACACTTGACCTCGTCTATTGATGGCATAAAAGCCACCCACGGTAGACGCCTCAGATGTCAAAAAAATTGGATCTGGACTGATCCGATTACGGTATACAGCAGCAGCTGTTTCCAGGTCATAAACAAACAGCAACCCCAGCTTGGTGATGACATAGATCAAGTTGTACTTGTGGGATATCTGTAAATCTCAAGTTCAGAATTCCCACCACCAGAAGTTACATGGATAACAAGTCAAATTAGGTTTTGGGGAGAGAGGCAATCCTACCTGCATCGCCACAGGAAAGTCATCAGCAAAATCTGGAGGAAAGAAAAGATCTGCCTGCTTCTTGGAAAACGATGGTTTCCCTGCACACCGAAAGTTAATAAGAACAGTGAGTGCTAGCTTAGTCCATGAAGTTCAATAACCAATGCCCGGGGGAAGTCAAGCAAAACTGGTGAAATAGACTCCAGAAATAACCTGGTTGAGCACCAAGTTCAATGACATGCAACTTTGAGGTAATCTGCCCAGCATTGAAGGTTTTTGTGGCAAAAGAAATGAGGGTAGAAGGATTCTCATTTCCAGGTACCTGTAAAACAATAGAAGAGATTTGCAGGCAACCAGTAGGACGACGGATTAGCCTTTGGAATAACACGAAGAACGATGAACTATCTTTCAATCAGGAGAAATTTTCACCTTAAATTGAGCAAATGCAGCTGCATGTGCTTCAAGAGCTTGGCTACGCTGTTGCTCAACAGAGAAAAGCTGCATATTCCCTTTCACTAGTTGTTGCCTCTGTAAGAAAATGCCAACAGTATCAGAAATGCAGCTCAGAAGTAACAAAAACTTCAGATGTAAAGAAGTGGACAAATCAAAACAAAAGGCATGTCTCTTCTTCACAAGCATGCAGATTTCAAGAGATGTTGGTTGAACAAGTCATGAAGGATAGCTTTAGTACAGATAGTACAAAATAAAAATCAGATACCTCAGGTGACCCTGGAGCAATTCCTATCAACACCAACCACTTCTCAGAAGGGTCACATCGATAGTTAATTATCTGATTGCTAGCCAAATTAGCGGTCCTCTCAAACATCTTAACAGGTTCCGAATCACCTGATGTTGAAAGAAGTTGGATATACATCAGCAATCTCTAATTCACTACATTTAGACGGATGTTGAACACCACAATTAAGTTCCAGAAAACAACAAGGGAATAAAATGAGAATCATACCTTCAATAGACCAATGATAGCAGGACGATTGTGTAACAAGCCCCAACATTTTCGGTGTTATCCACTTCCAGAAGACAATCTACACATAAAACAAGCCGGACATCATATGAACTAAATCCAGGTGGAAAGAAAAATGTGAGGACAATAACAAACAGTATAAACAAGCCAAGAAGGTCATTTACCTGCTCAGGCATCTGGTATGATTTCATTTTTGTCTTCATCTCAATGTTAAATATCTGCAAGTGATCCTGAGTGGTGCCGGGAAGTTGGGCTTCAAAGGAACAGAATATTGTCACAAGCAGCTCATATACACCGATCAAACATATAATATACGAAAACTATAACAGATTCCTCATTCTACTCAAATGAAAACTATAGCAGATTCTCCACTCTGCTCAATCCTCATCCTAGTTATGGAACCCAGGAGCATGATACACTCACTTGCAACAACTACTAGGTCAGGATTCAGGTTGCTATTTAAAGAGTCGTTTTAACTCTGGAATTTCTAATTCATCTGGGTGACAAAGGTCAAGTCTCTACCATGTAATCTTAATTTGTTCAGTGGAGTAACACTAGCACTTTATGATCAAGCAACAATATAAGAAATGAAATACAGCTCCGGATCCCCACCTTTCAGAGCGAGAATCCTAGAGTTAGGATTCATAAGGGCAGAGTCTGCTGTGATTGGCCGCCTCAATGGCTGATTTGGCATATTCATATCGACAATAACAACACTATTCTGTGGGGCAGTTTCTCGCACGCATATATACTTGTCGGACTCCATGGTCACGTTCGTAAAGGTGATGAACTGCGGACTAATCCCAATGCTTGGAAGCTGCAAAAGAAACACCAGATCACGACTCAATCTCATGTCCGAGCAACCTCAGAGCTCCCAAAATCAGCAATACTTTGCATATTATAGAGCCAGGAAAACAAATCAGCAGATCTAAACAGGTTAAGACACGCATCCGATCTGCATCGCCTACGAGGATCACTAATCGCGGTGATGAGATACACATCGTAAGCAATCACGCGCAATTCAGGTTCGCTATCGTCTAAGATAGGAAATTCAGCTACAAATTGGAGCATTTGAAGCTTCGAATCGAGGGAGCCAGTGAAGGAAAAGTTGGCTAAGGCAGGCTACTTACAGTCAGCACTTCCTTCATGGTAATCGGCGCGTTAGCGGCCGCCATGGTGCCGGATTGGATCGACTGCTCCGAAGCGGCGGGCAACCAGATCTACGAATGCCGTCAAACCGTCCGTCGACGGGGAAGAGTCAACAGAGAACGAAACGAGGGATTCGAATCGCTGCGAGATCTAGGGCAGCGACAGACCCCACTGGTCTTGAATCAATCAGAAGGAGAGCGGAAAAATAAGGGAAAGAAGATCTACAGAGCAAGAACGGGAAGAGAAAGGGAGAGTGAGAAGAAGGGTCTCAAACGCAAACCCAACGAAGAAATACCACCGAGAGGAGGAAGCAGAGATCTCATCTTAACTGTTAAGAAAAAAGAAAATGTAAATATTTTTTAATTTTATATATAATAAATCTATTTTAAATTAATTTAGAATCTCACGAACAACTGAAGAGTGAAGAGGGACGTGTAAAAATGTGCCTCTGCGAATTTTATTTTTATGAGTGGGAGCCTGGGAGGAGTGGAGATTGGACTGACTTCCCATATTTCTTTTCTCACCGGACGCGTAACGGGATTTTATTTTATTTTTTCTTGTACAGTAATTGAACAAGTATAAATCGATTTAGCCAGATGTATATTTGTGCATCTCGGCACCTATATTCATATTTTACAGTATTTTTAATCATTTATCATTATTCAAATCTTAAGAATTAAGAAAGTAATTCCAAGTTAAAAAAGAAACCGTGAACTAAAAAAAAAATCAGAAATGAAGGTTGTCAACCTGCCGGCTGATCCGGACTCAGTCGAGCTAATGGGTCAAAAGTTAATGGGTCACCCGTTTTAGTCCGAAAATATGGAAAGAGTTATTATATACTTATCCTGATAAATTATATCGAATCTCATCTAACACATGAGTTATAACATATATTACACCAAAATAACTTGTCGTACTTAGATCCAACATGTAGTGAAAATTCGCACACACTTGTATAACATCAATATTCAAATGTTCAACTTGGAATTTCAAAGATTGAGTTAGGCGAAAAGAAAAATCGAAAAATAGGCGCATTTCGCAAACCAAAGAAAATATTGATACAATTTGACCTTCAACCCGGTATATTGTAGCGGTCGACCCGACAAGTACGTGCAGCTCGTTTTCCTCACCGGGCCAGAGTCAAAGTGGGTGCGGGTCCACAACCAAAAACAAAAGAAAGCAATTCTAAACTACTACAACCCCAATGTCCACTATGGCGCAACTCAAATAACTGGGCCGAAGATAACCAAATGCATTTGACAGCAGCAGCACCAGCAGACTAGAACACAGGCCCAACTTTACTTGTCGGCCACATGACCTTCAACAATTCAGCCCATAGCGGAAATATGTGTTAGTAGTGGAGGGTGCATAGGCTGTAAGTCCAATCAAACAATGGGATCAAATAGTTTTTTTTTTTTATGGACAAGATCAAGCCGTTGCAATTGCTCGTCGAGCTTAGTGATGGCAATTTCAATCCGTCCTGCGGGTATTATCCGACCTGACTCGTGATGGGGCGGGTATTACCCGACCCGCAGTAGCGTGGGGCGGGACATGGATATCTACTTCCGACCCGCCCTGCCCGCCCCACCCAGTTCTAGACTCATTTTATCTCAATTTCTTACAATATCTATACATATTTCTCCTATTTTGACTTCTCTTCAACTAGTTAGAGTCGATATTTCAACTTGTTAGGCTCAATTATCCATTCTATTATCAATATTTTTCATTCTTAAAGTGTTTTTCCCTACGTTTTATTGTAAAATGTAAAATTTACTTATATTTTTTTTTTAACAACATTTAAGAGTGGGTTGACCCGCCCCGCCCCGTACCCGCGCGGGTTTTACCCGCCCCGACTCGTAGTACCGTGGGCGGGGCATGGGAATTGAGATACCCGCCCGTCCCGCCCCATTGCCATCGCTAGTCTCGCTTGTAAACCCACTATTTATTTGAGTCTTTATTAATTGTACATTATTCGGGAGTTGACTTCGCTTTAAAAGAATGGAATTTATGCAACTTATAACTGGTCTCCATATCGCGTCCCCATTTTATGACCCCAATTATAAACCAACCATTCATCCAGTGGGAAGCAAAACGATAACAAGCAGGGAAAAAGAAAAAGAAAAAGGAAAAAAAAAAGAGTGCAGACAACATTACAAGTTACAACAACCAACTAGTCGGCCGGCCGCTAAATATGACTGGCCAACTGCTTGTGCTGGACCCAACCCACCAAAGACCCAAATCGAAAATGTTAGTTTGTTACCGTTTTTTGACTCCTAGCCAAGTAGCCAACCATTATAATCACTCGATGGATTAGTGTTCACTAACCATGCATATTTACAATGGATGAATAGAATAAGATAGTGTAATTAACTAATTATTACGGAAAATTCTGGTGTTGGTCCCAAAATAAAAAGAGTGAGTGGAATTTAAGTAAATTTAGTGAAATTATATCACTGACGATTTTCATTCTTTGTGAAATCTATAAACAAGTTGGAAGTATGAAATTTAGATGATTGGTACCGTCGAACATTTTCTGAACCAAGCAACTATACGTATGCGAGTCGTGGTTACGTATTTATCTACATACGATTTAATCAGCTCCTGCGGCTGGTCTTCTTTCTACCGCTACCTAATTGCTCAAAACGTAAATGTTCTTGCATATCATTGTCATCATCTATTTTATCAAATCACATATCGCCACGCTTGTGCTCCAAATTTTTCCTCCGATTGTGGTTTTATGTTGATGCAGTGCTCGATTAGCTCCCGCGTCAGCCTAATTTTCAGTTGGGGCAAGATTTGGAGCTTCTCCTTGTGTGGAATCAATGGAGGAAACGAGCCAATTGGACGATCATGACGCTGATGTCATCCATGGAGCCCCTCCTCACAGCCAACTCTGCGAGTTGATTGCAAGCTAAGGCTGGCTTTGGTTTCTCGGCATCAGTGCACAAATGGCGGATCAGATCAACTGCTTCTTGATTGGAAACCTGCAAATTGAAATGGAACGAAATCGAATCAGTTTTCCCCAATCAACACAAATGCTTAAGCTTAACACAATCTGCGAGCAAAAAATGAAATCAATCTCGCTTACCTTATCCCACAGCCCATCGGAGGCCAAGATCAGGAACTCGCAATCAGGCTCGATTCTCAGGACTTTGGTCTCCGGCTCGGCGATCACGAACTCCTTGAGATGCCCGTCTCCGATCCCTCTCGTCACGGCGAGAGATCCCTGAATCCTCCATACGCCTCTGCAGCAATCCACATAACCGCCGAGGGCCTCGATTCGCTCCTTCTCGTCGGGACGAGAAGCTTGATGATCGGACGTGAGCGCCTCCGCGACTCCTCCCCTGCTCATCACGGCGCGGCAGTCGCCGGCGTTTGACACCACGAGGTTTCCGTCTTGTATCAACGCCGTGACACAGCATGCTCCACCGTGAGCGTTTTCGTTGAGGAAATCTGCATCGGTTTTCAAATAGGCCTTTCTAATCGCCTCTTGGAATCCGTTATCGTCAGATCTAGAAGACGATGATAGTTCGGCGGAGATGTTTTCCCCCAAATTCTTCGAGGCGAATTCGGCGGCTCTCGCGCCACCGTGTCCGTCGAAGATCCCGAACATAGCCTGCGGCAATCGAGAAGCGGAATTGAGTTTTTGACCTAATTTTCATTTATTTTACCCACACGAAAGATTGAATCCAAGAGATGACCGGAGAATCGAATTTCTCACCTGCTTAGAATCGGAAGCGTTGACGGAAGCTGCGTACCGATCCTCCATGGATCCTCTCCTCCCTCTCTTGCAATAAACGGAATATCCATCTCCTTCCACCTCCACCACATCTGATCTCTCTTCCTCTGCCAATCTCGGCGTCTCCAAACACAACCCCAAGCTTCTCGTCGCCACCGGGATATCTATCCTCGCCGGCCTCTTCCTCTTGAGCACCGCGCCGGGATTCCCGGCCGCTTCGTTCACTCTCAGCGATAACATCGACGTCGGCGGCGAAGAACTAGAAGACAGGGACAGCCGCGGCGACGACGACACGACGGCTGTTGATCGGGGGCTGTGGATGCTGCTCGGAGAGGGGCATGGCTTGCAGAAGATCGATTGCATCCTCGGCGATGCGAAAATCGGCGATTTCGGAACCGGTACTGCCACTGAGCACATATTACCAGCCGGCGTCGATTGAGATTAATTTTTTTTGTCTCTTTCTGCTCGTTCCTTTTTCTTCTTCTTCTTTTTTGATTTTTCCCCTTTCTTTCTTGCTCTGCTCTGTGTCCCTTTTTTTTCTCTTCTTCCGCCGATTTGGTTCAGGGTTTATATAGTAGGTGAGAGATGGCAGCCAGCCGGCAACGTGTTTGTGAAATTGACTCGCGATTGACTCGGCTTGAACGTTGGATGGAATTTTCCTTTTGGTTTAAAGCGGACGGATACGTCCCACGCGCCTAACTACTGAGTTCCACGTTTGATCATAAAAAAAATTAGGTTAACCTTTAAAAAGAACAATTAGGTTCTGGTTCTTTGAGCTGATTTCTGGATCAAAAAGAAAAATTAGGTAAAGTACAAGGTTTTGGGTCTGTTTCTTTTCTCTTTTTTTAGTTTATATTAATCATTTACTTCCCTGATTTCTTTAATTACATCAAACATCATAACATAATTACGTTTCTCCCATATTTTAATTTTACATAAGGAAAATTTCAGTTTGATAACAGAATTACAATTAGACCATTTTGTAATGTCTCAACGACTTCATAAAAAAAATAAAAACAGCAGGAAATGGTAAAACTGAATTAGTCAGATCAATTTAAACGAATAACTGTTTCAGCTACCATATATTTCTGGATTTTGTTCAGTTTAAACTTCTTAATGGATTTTATCCTGATTTAAACAAAGCATTTATATACCTTTTTTTAATATAGTATTTTACTAATTAGATAAACTCATATCCTCACGCGCGAGGCTGAGAGTGATATAGCTCCCCTGGTCAAAATTCTGGCGGTTAGTTAACGACCAAGTCACTCTTTCTCTCTCTCCCCCTGTTTTATTTTTATTATTTAATGTGCAAATCGTGGCCGGTTACCATTGGGGCACGTCAATGGTCAAAAGCGGAGAAATCTGTAACGTTGAGTTGGGAATGCGCTGGAGTCGGTGCGACATGTTATGGGCATGGCCATTTTCCAGCTTGAGGCACGAAAATGAAATAAAATAATTTGGTTTCGACCAAAAAATTTATAAAGAAAAAAAATAAAACAACTGGGTCCAAGCTGATTCTTCTTGATTAAGAATTCTAAGAAGAACGGCCGCATATAGTTTTCCCACGGTCTTCGTTCCAAAAAGAAACCTTCACAGAGAACGGGTTTTTCTCTTAATGGGTAGTCGAAAAGTTGCATTTAACTGAGACTGATTCCACCTTCCACCAATGAACTTTACGTTTAACCAAAGAAAATGACCCACCTGGTCAAATTAAAACATACCCATGCACTTCAGTTAACATCTCTAACAACTAATTAGGACCGATTCACTTAATTGTATAAAATGTATAGGAGTGTTTTTACTTTGTCACTAAATTACTGGTGCGTATTTAATATATGGTGATTAAATGTGTTATACGAATTTTATAAACCGAAATAGTTTGGTCATAGGAACATATGATGTACACACGAAAGTAATTAATGTCTTGAACCTTGACTCTCTCACGTCAAATAGATATGTGCCAAAATCCAATCAAAACTCAAACGGCGCTAACAATTTGTTTTGTAACGAGGTCATGTCGATTGAACATCATACTTTCTATTTTATGATAATGTCATTGCGATTGTGGAGTCAAGTTCGACTATAGATTTTTATATATAACCTCTCTACCAAACAAATTCCAGGTCCTCTTCAGCTCCTTTAAGCTTCACTCTAGTTATCGTGCAACTTCCCATATGATAAATAATGACACCGTTGCATCTTCCCAGATGACAAAATCACAACAAAATCATCAGTCGCATTTGTATTCATCCTTCATTTGGAGGAAGAGAGGCAACCTCCTGGTTCGCTCTCCCTTTTGCCGAATGATGCTTTTCTTTGCATCCTGTTTTGCTAGGTGATTTATTCCGATTCATAGCAGAATTCCCTAAATTTCCTGTTGGGGGTGTTGCTAAGAGACTCCCCGCAGAGACTAAGTAATATCGCATGTACCTTGTTGCTATTTGCTAAATGCTTAATTTTGACGGGAATTTTTGTTTTGCACACTAGTTCGAGGAGCCCTAATTTGGACAGATAATTTATAATCCATATCGCCAGTTAATCAGCAGCACCAATGTTAATGACTCACACAGATTAGCATTGAATTGATTCTTGTTTGTTCTTTTCTTTATTTTGTCGAGTTTGGTCATGACAAGGCGAAGAGCTGGGTCAAATTAATGATGTAATTAACGACAAAGCTGAACTTAACAGCAGCATAGCGGCCTCTAACTTATGCATCTTGAAAAATGGCTTGGTAGCTGGTACAAGTACACAACAAACATTTTTCTCAACATCTGGGGATGTAATTTATTTCTTACCAATACAATTCAAAAGGGTAAAAATTTGATTCTGTACAAAATATTAGACAAATTTATTGAAAGACAGTTTAACATCCAAACTTTTGTTAGTCAATACCGATGTACGTAGTTTGGTCTCCGTTGTGTGGAGAATTGCTTTCCTTCCTTTTCAACGCGCGGCCACTGTTGGGCTCTCTATCACCGGCGTCTTTGCGTAAAGATAAAAAATACAGCTATTGAATTCTATTAAAAAAGAATTAATCGACTTTTTACAAATTGGATGCTGATGTGTAGGTTCAATAACGATATCGTTTATTATAATGGATGAGGCCGTTTTGTAATATTATACAAGATTTGGCTATTAAATTATTAAGATCTAGTTATTCTGATGAAAAACATGAAAAGTTTTATGTATTAATAAAAATCTTGAGGGGTGGATTGGATGGACAATTAAGAAACGAGATAATCTGACTAGTTGTATCGTTTTATAAAATGAGTCATTTATAAGGAGTAAGTTCGAATACCCTGTTCCATCCCCCAAATAATTGGATTTGCCTCAAATCGGATCAATTCAAAGTTTGCCTGGCCAAGTTGAGTCATCCAAATTTCTTGCCGACAAACGAGTTAATCGGCCCAATTATCTCAAAGCGAGACAATTATATAAAATTACTCCGTTATAATTTTTCATCTAAATGGACCCATCAGTATTAATTTACAATTAGTTGGATTATATAGTGAGGCAACCGAGCAGGGCAATCACACCCATAATATACGCAGGTTGACCGCCTACTTTGTTAGGTTTCGATGGTACAGAACGAACAGCCAGGCAATAGAAATTGCTTAAGTTACTCGATAGAGGGCAAGATTTGACCGAGTTTATTCCGTCTACCGGACCAATTTAAGACCGGCCGCCGGCCGTTATTACTTCTTCTTATGTGCACACAATCGCAATCGCTGAATGGTGTTTGTCACCCCGGGGGTAGGAAATTAAGGCCATATTAATATATCCCACAGTACTGGTTCTTAGTAACACCCAGTCAAAATAACGGGGAAACAAAACTCAGTCTGCTGACGTTAATTACCAAGTCATAAATAAATAATAATGAAAGCACACTTGGCTTGACTACTAATGATTGAATCCATCAAGTTTTGCAGGCTAAGCCCCTTTTCTTTGGACAAAATAGAGATCAGACTGGTTCAGCTGTACGTAATACGTATGCATAGGCCGGCCGAAGGCCGTTCGTCAACTCATTAATTAATTAAGACACTTTTATTAAGTCAATATATTAACCCGGCAAAGTCAAGGACTTAAAATCGTAAACCCGTCTAGAGCCAGCCAGCAGGACCCATTTGTAAGGATTGCGAAGATTCAGATCTTTCCGTAGTTTGTTCCTCTTCATGATGGACATTTGTACTTAGTGGCGTGTAATAGTGTCTGATAGGCTAGTCCGTTAGTAGTTAATACATAATCACTAGGCTAAGCTAGTGATATGGATTATACATCAATTAATTACACACTTATGATTAAAATCGACGATTAGTATACTAATTCAACCGATACACTTGGTTTTGTTTAAGTACTTCTCTACAAACTCTGCTACAAATTGCTCCGTGGGTTCACCTTTCTCTCGTTTATAAACAAAACTTGGGAGTTGGGATATCAGTAGGCCAAGATCCGATTGTAGAGCAATTCGTTCCACGTGTCGGGCACTCCGGGGAGACACCAATGCAGGCAATCTGCATAAGCCGCCGGATTGGTTTTCTGCTCGGAGGTCAACACTTGACCGCCGTATGTCCCGTAAACGGAAGGATGGCCGTCTTTCCGTCGCTCCGAGAGAGCTGTTATGTTGAGCAAGTTCACGGGAGTTCTCATCGACGCCAGGACTCTGCTTGTCACCCCATAAAATCTCACATCCGTCTGCACATTCAGTGGTACGGATACGTTCTGAAAAGGCATCGTCTCCTTCTCGCATCGTACACCGTCTGTGTTGTTCCAATCCAGACTCCTGTCAACATTAATTAGTGGTTCCACTCCAAGAGATTAGTACAAATTCCCGATGAAGCTCGTTAATTTTTTTTTTTTTTTTTTGCGTTCCGTTCTGTAATAACTCACCATTGATGTTGAGGGAACATGGAAGCGAAGAAAACAGAGGTGCGATTGGGATCGACATTTTCATCCACCCACTCGCCCCACCTCCTCAGCGCTCTCGCGTACCCTAGATGCCGTTCGATCTCGTCGTATTCCGGTGCCACGTCAGCAAACGACGACGGCCCACGTCTGTTTTAATATGGGTTTATCAATTGGACTGAACCGAATGTTATAATATGTGCTTACAGCTGGTGATTGAAGAGATAGAGGTTACAGTAGTTTGATGGTTGGATATCTGAGCCACCAGGCGTAGGTGTTGAAGATGAGGTAGTCGGCTTGTTTCCAGGCCTCGCCGCGCTTGGAGAAGATGGAATCCGGATTGACTATGGACTCTGTTCTGCCGTCTCTCATTGTTGGAGGGTCGGAGTTCGAGTCAACCAGGAATGGCGCCCAGTAATACTCTATGCTTGCATTGTACATCTGTGAAAATGTGTTGCATATAAAGCACAAGTCTCTTCCTATAGTCCATTATACTGTAACGCATATAACGAAATAGTAAATTGGCAATGTAAGAAAGTAACATATTAGAGGGACTCATTTGTAACTGTTAGTTTTATTTGTTGCCTTTGTGAACTTTTGCCTTATACCCGCAGCTTACGTCGAAGGGTATAAGTGTTTTGCTTTCTCGGCTGCCCTATCTCTCAAGAGAGTCTTGCGCAGTCTGTACCTTGCCAAGAACATTGCTAGTGAAAACCCTAAATCCAGAGCTCTGTTCTCCGTGGATTAGTCTCGTTCATGTTGAACGAGGATACCACGTAAACATCGTGTCTCTTTACTATTCCGCATTCATCAAAATTATTATAACACACATGTTTTACTAATACAATGTCTCGAGCATATACAGATTACACAGAGATTGAAAAAATATATTGTATACTTTTCAAATTTGTGTTTAGATAAATAATCTGTTTTCACATCTAGTTAATTCGATAATCAATCTCAAATTCTCAATGAGGAAGCAGTTGAACTACTTACACAAGCTATAATTGTAAGCAAAATTCCAAATGCTTCTCTTTTCTGCGGTTGAACATTTTAAGATAAATTTCAAACTAAGGTTGTGCTCGCAATTCACGAATTACTTGAAAAACACCTTCTAAATTTTCGTAAGGGGGGAACAAGTTTACCTGAATCTGAAAAGCTTGCGTGTACTCATCAGAATACACCACCTTCTTGCTGCCCCGAGGAACAGCCGACTGGACCATGCAGACCAAAGATTGCCACTGGTTAAGATGCACAGAGTCCCCAACGAACATGATCCTCTTCCCTCTCAGTTTCTCCAACAACAACCTCGGATCGAACACGGCCAATGAGCACTCGCGCGGCTGCCACCTCCACTTCTGAAACAGAGCATCCTTCCTTCCGTTCCTCAAGCAAGTCGTCCACTCCGATAGGAACTCACAGTCTTCCTCTCTGTACAAGGGCCTTGTTGTCTCGTTGTCCATAACCCACTCTCCGTCAAATATATCGCAAGCTTCAACTTCTCGTTTTGCGTCGTCGGATCGGGGATTGGGTACCCGGAAAACAGAGCTCGGGTCTCCCCTGTTTCCGATGAACAAAACCCATCCCAGGAAGCAGAGGAGGAAGATTGCCGCTACGGTGAGTATTGGCTTGGAGGCGTTGGGTAGAGTGTGGGTTGGGGTTGTGGAAGGTTTCATCTTTTTTCAGGTTTGTGGGGATGCATGAAGCTTAGAATTTAGAATGTGGCGGGATTATATTGTATATGTTGGGTTAAGGGGGTGATCGGCGGTTGTTCAGCAAACCATGAGAGTAGAGATGGTGACTAAAGGGATCTTTGGATTTGGTGAACTTCCAAACTGCTCTCTGCTAGTCGCTAAGGGGATTCGGTTTTGATTGTCTGAGGTGATTGAATGTGTTGGTTGTGGAATTCGTTGGAAATTAAAGTTTGGAATATGAAGTACTAAAAAGGTCTTACCTTTCTACCAAAAAAAAAAAAGTTTTACCTAGCAATATCTTGTACCTCAATATAACCATGTTTGGATGAGGTATTCAAATGGATCAATGTGATATAATTGTATCGTTTTGAGACAATTGGGTCATATTGATTCATTTGGAAGCTAAAAATTGGAATGAAACAATTTGGTATGGAGAATTCTGAATTGACTCATTTTGAGGCATTACAATTACCTGGAGTGGGACAGGTAATTCGAACCGACTCGTTTCAAATAACTCATTTTTAAAACGAAATAATTGACTAAATTGTCTCGTTTTACAATTGATCCATCCAATTGTATTATAAAAGCAATGCCTTCTTAATAATAGTATGCGTCACAATCTAGGGTTCACAAAGGAACTTAGAATTCTTATTGAGTCTATAGACATATAATTGTTCAAGGATTCATGCATTATAAAAGCATTCGACCTCCTTTTTTGTTTAAATTTTTTAGCAAACAATAGTCATATTTGTGTAATGTAGATACGAAAATATATATTTGCTATAATATATCATAATACGGACAGTATGGATTACTGTGTTATCAAAATAAAGCGCAATCTTGCAATTTTGGAAGACCTTAATTTGATAGAAGCCTTGCTCATTGTCTTATTGGGGTTGCACATTTCGTTACCGAACATGTCCTTTAAGTATTCCGTAATTTATTAAGGGGTCGTTTGCTTGTTGGATTTGAAAAATGAGGGTTTTGGCCAACAAAAACCTTGAGATTTATGTTGGATTTATTGGATTATGAATTTGAAGAGTCTAATGTTTGCATGATAGATTTGATGATGGATTTGTGATGGACTTGTTAAATAAATAACTAACCATCAAGGATTTGCAAATCCCAAATCAATATGTGGGATTTACAAGTCCGTGAGGTCCACGGATTTGGTTCCATAATAAAGATCAAATTCGTGGACCCCACGGATTTAGCATCCTTCAACAAACAATGGACTTATGTTAAATCCATCCAGCTTGGGATTTGGATACCAAATCCATGACCCAAATCCAACAAGCAAACGACCCCTAAGATTTGTCTTTACTTCGTGAATTCGATTGGTGTATAAGCATTAACTATTTTTTTTTATTATCTTTTTACTTGATAACATGAGTGATCCAATGTAAGAACTTATAAGAAGCCTAATAAAGGAGTAAATACCATTTTTTGGGAGCTAGGAGCAAATCCATAATTTGACCATTTAATTGAGAACTCTTCTAGTCTTATGCAATTATTATTTCTGCTTTGTAGGTGGCATTTTATTTTACAGTTGCATAAAGTTCAAAACAAAAAGAACAAAAGGCTACTGTGCTGGTCTCCCACTCCACCTTTCCTGCCTCAATTAACGGCACAATCACCTCATTTTGTGCTATTCACTTCCCTTAACCCTACACGGCGCCGTTCCCATCGTAAAACTACCGAGGCACTCGAATTCGAGTTACCGTGAAAGGCGGTGAAAAAAAGACATCAGAATGCCAGAATCAATAGAGTTTTACACCACCGTATGTTCCACCGGCGGGCATCCTAGCAGTAAAAAATTCAATTTACAGTAACCCTCTTCACATTTTGCAAAAGATAATAAAAATTGCCCAAAACAAAAAGGAGAAAATCCAATTAATTCACAAAAAGAACCAAAAATCATTCTTCTTTTCTGTTTCCCCTCTGTGCTGTAGCCTGTATGGTGATTGCGGGCGTTATTTTACTGTTCTGCCCCCAGCTCCCTAAATTGTCAGGGGCGAGAAATAATGCGGGCATAGAGGAACTCGTTCCACGTATCGGGCAACCCGGGCAGGCACCAATGTATGCAGTCGGCGTACGTCGCCGGATCCGCCTGCTGCTCCGGCGACAGCATCTTCCCCTGCCGGATCGTGTACACCGACGTGTGCGCGTCTTTCCGGTACTCCGACAACTTCGTTATGTTGTTGAAGTGGACGGGAATCTTCATCCCCGCCGTCACGTTCGCCGCTATCACCAACAGCCGCCGGTCCGTCCCCACCTCCAGCGGCATCGTTTGGTTCAGAATCGGCGTCGTTTCGAGCGCGCACTTTATTCCGCTCGGATTCTCCCAGTCCTCGCTCCTGTAATAAAAAAATAAAATATTTAATCTCGTTGCCAAAAATAATTAAATTACAGAGAAGCGTGTAAGATGAGCAATACAATGGTCAAATTTGAACAGCCGACACTTTGTTGTACTTTTATTCCGTATTATTATAATCAAATAACCTAATTACATCAATGCATGCAATTACTATAATAAAGATCATGATTAGTTTACTAACACTCAACATTAGATCACGGATTAGTAAACGAAGGTGAGAAGAAATAGATGGGGTACTTGATATGGAGAGGGGACATGCTGCTGAAGAACACCATGGTACGATTAGGATCCACGTTTTGGTCAACCCAGTTGGACCAGGTATTCAACACTCTCTGGTAAGCTACGGGCCGTGAGATCTCTTCGTACTCCGTTGCTCCATCATCGAACGATCCTCGTCTGTGCCACGTGGCGCGCGCGAGATAAGCATGTGATTAATAACCCCATAATGCATGAAATTTAGCATACATGATAGGATTGAGATTAGCAATTGAGGAGGAGGGGACTTACAGGACTTTCATGGTGAAGGTGTTCATCCACCAGATGTAGGTGTTGAAGATGAGGTAGTCCACGTCCTTCCAGTTGGCGCCGTGCTTGTTTATGGACTCGGGCATTATGATCCGGTTCAGGATGCTGTGCATCAACGGGTCGTCGGAGTTCGATTCCACCAGGAACGGCGCCCAGTAGAACTCCACCGTCGCGTTGTAGTCCTACAATGCACACACCCACACTCGATCATTTTCGTTAATTATCCTTCCTATAGTTTGACTGCTTGTTACAGCATGAAAGGTCTATGTGAAATATTATTATTATCAAATTTGTTCTTTACCCTAACAAATTCATAAAATAAAAGTGGTATAAAACCATGTGAAAAGCAAATCACGGAATAAAGGTGCAAAGACGAACATGTAGAACCCCTTTAATCCCATGTAGTAGATATGCATGAATAGACCATAGTTGTTGGCCTTCTACAGGCAGAAATCATGGTTGTTAGTCTATTAATTTGAGACACTAATTTTGCTAATATAATATTGAATCGGAGGTCGGCATCAAACCGAAAGTCAGATACATCTCTTGAGTAAAACAGAATCGTTTTGTATTAGGTGGGTTTTCAGATTAAACAAACAAAAAAGATTCAAGAGATTCCATTTTCTTCAATAGTTGTAAAACAGAGAGGCCAAAAAAGATCAATAATGGTGAACAAAGAGACAGAGAAAGGGAATTAAAGCTGTGCATGGGGTCGAGAAAGCTTTCAAAAGCAGCGTGGCGATATCTTCCAAATCTCAATAAAAAATAGGATTTTTCTAATACTGGGGGTTTCATTCAAAGCTTGGCCACAACCTAATCTACCTTATCTTAGCAAGAACATGACAAAATCAATCCCATTTATGATTCTATGCTCTTCCCTTTCGCAATTCAAGCAATGAAACTTGGCACCAAGAGGAAAAACAGAGATACTCTGCACTCCTTTTGTAGTAAAAAAACAGGGGAGGAATTGGTCAAACTGTAAAAAGGAAAATAGGTACCGTAAAGAGTAATTTTAAATTTTTACCTCGATCCTGAAAACAGCCAGAGAACCCGTCTTGTTCAAGCTCTTTCTTCCAGGAGGGATCACGGACTGGACCAAGCAAATCATTGATTCCCACTGGTTTCGATTCAGCGAGTCACCAACGAACATCAGCCTCTTGTTCCTCAGCTTCTTCAGCAGCAGCCTCGCCTTGAACCTTTTTTTTTTCACGCCCGCACCAAATTCATCAACCACCACTGAAAATTCATCGCTAAACTCTGAATTCTTTTCAATCAAACTCCCAAAATTACTTACTTGGGCAAAGAGCAGTCTCTGGGCTGCCACCTCCAGTTTTGGTACATGGAGTCCTTCCTTCCGTTCCGCATACAAGTCACCTGCGCCGTCAAGAATTCGCATTTCTCCTCCTTGTACAGTGGGTGAGTCGCGTTGTCGAACACCCATTGGCCGTTGTACAGATCGCAATCTTCCGGCGGCAATTCCACGTCGTCCAAATCGTCTCCTTCTTCTACTTCTGCTACCTCTACAGCCGCGGTGGTTGAGTCGGGATCTTGGGAGGCTTCTTGGGAAGTGGGCCAGGAGAAGGGGAACTCGGCCATTGACTTGACGTCTTCATTGTACATGAAGATCCCAAAGAGGAAGATGGAGAAGACGACGACGAAAACAGAGAGGTTGTTGTTCTTCCTCTGCTTCATTGCTGCCGCTGTGAAAGACGAGAAGTGATGGGATTTCCTTCGAATCGACGGCTGCATGTTAAGGAAAAAAGAAGAAGCGAAAGCAATTGAAGGGAAAGAAGAATGAGATTGTATTATATAAAGACTTGATAAACAGAAGTGTGTGGGTAGAAGAAACGGAAATTAGAAGCAGGGGAAGAAGGGAATAAGAAAACAGAGGTTTGATAAAAGCTTAGTGGAAAAGAAAGGGACTTGCTTACATACTTACTTACATCCAAAGAACCAATCTTTTTCTCTTCTTTGTTGTTGGGGAGGATTTTTTTTTGGGAAGAAAATGGGATTTGGTGAGATGGGTTTGTCTTGGGAAGAAACTGGGTGTTTAGGGTGCTGGTGGAGGGGGAGAAGTCATTCTCAAGGATTGTTTTTCAGTTCCCCTCTCCACCTTAGTTTTGTGTATCTTCTGCTAACAACTTTCAGCTGCTGCCTTCTCTTCTTCATATCTCTCTCTCTAGATAGAAAGGAAGTAAGAAGATGGACAGCGAAACAGGGGAGAAAGAGAGAGAGAGAGAGAGAGACAAAGGAGGTGTTTGAGACTTGAGTGATTTCAAAGTTAATATTTCTTTTTATTCTTTTCTGGGGGGCGTGGTCTGGTCTCATTCCCTAACGAGAAGGAAAGGCTTGGGTGAAGAATGGTGGGGTATGATTATGGAGTTCTGTTTACTGGCAGACCATAAGTTGCTATCCTCCTAGATCAGGTTCAGAGCTGGCTTCAGACAGAACCAAGCAAAATGGCTATTTGGATTATACTTATGGTAATGGGTATACTTCGTGATTATAGGTTTCATTTTCACCATTCAAAAAGTCATTTGAGTTCGGTTTAGCCGTTTAGGTCAAATATTGAGAACCATAGTTGGTAACAACAAGAAGTCCAGAAGAATTGAAACCCTATTAAATCTAGAAAAGGACATGCTTAATGGGGATCAATGCCTCATATGAATAGAACTTTTGTTCTAATCTAGGGTCAAAGGTTTGAGTTGGGAGCCACCATTCCCTGACCATTGGCAAAATGACAATCTGGAAGGGTTCAGAACTCGAAAGATGTGGGGTCCCATGGTCATGGCCATGAATGATGAGTATGTTGGCTTGGGTGATCAGATCAGACAGTTGCAGCAGCTGGCCTAGTTACAGGTCGCCATGTGAGTGGGGGTTGGAGAAATTTCAGTTAAGGGCAAATACTGAAGTCCAGAGCTTCCATGGCTAACTTAGTTGAGCGAACAGAGACAGAGAAACTAGAGAGTGTGGAATTTTGGGAAATTTGGTACATACTAATCCAGTTGTAATTTAGAGTTGCTATTTATGTTGTGCAAACCAAAGAAGCTTCCTTTTTGTTGTGGTTGTTGTTTTTGGTACAGATTAGTAACATCCCAAGTTGGCACTAGACAAATCCAAGCTAATGAGTAATGATGAGTATACCAAAGCACTATAGTACATTAGTACTCATGGATGACTAATAGATTAGCTCCAATAACTGATTCCTTTTCAATTACTCATTTTGATTGTAAGAGTGTTATATCGTAAGTTTAGGGGTTCCTTACTCGGGAAAAAAACTAATGCAGGTGAATGATGATTTAAAGTTGTATCTACATGTAAATGATGATGGGTTAACCTGGGTAGGAATGCAAATGGAGAAATATTCTGAACAAGAAAGTACGAGATACAATCAGAGACAATAAGTCATGAGCGGAATGGTTTCCTTTAGTTTGAAAGCCCTACGATAATCCTGTGCATTGCTATATATATAACACTATGTTGGTTATCCTTGATATTGTTCAGACAATAAATAAACTATACATCGTAAAAACAAAATCATCCTAATGTGTTTTGCGCACAAAAGCAATTGAAACCAAACACTATTGAATCTTCCAATTCAAAAACTACTCATATAATTCCCAAGGACTTATGACGAAGTACAACAGTCAAAGCGAATTACTACGAAACCACAAGACGAGTATGATGGAGCAGAGCTAGGAAGGCGCTTGTGGCACTCTGCAATTAGGCTCCGCCGCTCCGCTTGGTGAAAGAGTGTTGCATAAGAATGTGCGGGAAAAGATAGATCACAAATGAGAGATTTGTTTGGTTAGAAATTGGTATTCAATTCGAATTATACTTCTCTTTAATGTGGATGAGTTGGTCGTATAGAGTTTTATTTGTTAACGTCTTGAACTTCTAATTAACTGTATAAACTTGTATCCATCTCAAAGTACGTACGATGTATACTTCTATTTCTTGGTTAGTCCTAACAAAAAGATTGAAGTAAAAACAAGTAGACATTGTAACACATAAGAGGGCACACCTAATTTGTATCAAGTGAACAATATTGCAACCTAGTTGTATTCGGGAAAACATATACATCGTTGTCTACTTTATAATACTGTGGTTGGATTTCTTTCTGATTTTCCTCTGTACATGTAGCTAGACTGTATAACAAGCACATGAAAATGCCATGCCAACTCAAATAACGGTTACAATGTTACAAGTTTCACCTAACCTAACCAACATGTGAAAGAAACCTCAATGTTTGTGGGGTTGGTTGTCAACCTTCCATGCACTTCCATTTGACCTCAAAACTGATTAATTAAGTACCTAAGACCTTCATTACATATAAATATGTTTTGGTGACATGCAATTAATAGAACTCAATAGGAGGAAACCATGTGAAGTTTCTCAATCAAACACCAACTACACAGAACTCTTTGGATGGATGAATTAACAATTAAGTCTCTTGGTTTTCATTTAATCATGATGATTGGCAAAATTAACAGCCTAATCACAACCCTTCCCTGCCTACTACTAAGATTATGTGTAACTTTATGTTTGAGAAAAAGTAGAGGCTAAGGCAAATATGTAATAACCTCAATTTGGAAGTCATCTTTCTGTCTCTACTCTCTACCCTGTATTTTCTCCCCATTTTTAGTTTTAATGTATGTGCTCCTTCCTACATTGCTGGTTTTCTAAGGCAAGGCTTGGTGGGCATACACTTCTCACTACCAGAACTCCAGAAGACAATCCAACAAACAGAAGACATAATGGCAAGTGTACTTTCCATAGTACAAACTATTAAATACGTTTTCCAGGAGAACAAAGGATTAAATACCATGAATTGTTAAACATAAAATGGTTTCATTGGTGAGACTAACGATTCAGAGTATTTTTTTTTTATAAGGGTGATATAGGTTTTATTTTGTTGTTATTAAGGTACTACTTAAGAGATTCGAACCTGAGACCTCCAGGTTCTAGGCTAGTGGTATTTCCACTAGCCCAAGCCCTTCTTCGTCTAACGATTCAGAGTATTAACAGAGGTATAATGACTAAGCAGCTAAAAAGTAATTATAATATTATGATAAACAAATCATGGGTTAACCAAAGGAGAATGATTTAATCGACAAAACCGCCCAGTACAATACGACACATCACAAATGATATTATATACGTGTATCTAGCTCCATATAAGGAACAACTTAGTGATTTCACCATTTTTATCTATAATTTGTTTGGGAGTATTTGTGTTAGAACTAGAACCCTTCTGCTATATTCTAAAGTATTGGTGCTTCGATATAAAAATTGAACTTGTAGCATTGAATTAAAGGTATAAGCTCAACTTGTATCATAAATGTACAAATTCGGTTTGTATCATAAAAAGAATTTTACAAGAAAATACAGATACAAACTAAATTTATACCATAAGTAACGTTAAAGGTAAAAATTCGGTCTGTACCATGAATGATTTTTTTTAAAATAAAATCATCAATACGATAAAACATTGTAAAATTCCTCAAAGAACTCAGATTAAATTACAAAGGAAACAAATCCATATAATAATCTGGTAATTAAAGAGTCATACCTCCATCACAAAAGTTATAGGCGGAGTTCCTCACCTTCCCTCCTCCAACTATAGAAAAACTGAAAAATCCCCAAGTAGTAAGGGAAAATAGGATGAATAGAGAGCCCAACAATAAATAGTTTTCTCTTGTGAGGAGACCGAAATAAAGAATTGGTGATGATTTAGGTTATAGATTATAACATGCAAAATGGTTCTCGAATAGGTCAATGGAAAGGCCAAGAACGAGATCGAATAATTGAAAGTGGTGGAGGCGAAGTGAATAACACAATGATATGACAGAAAGGTCAATGATATGCAATTACTTTGTTGAAGCAAAGAAGATCCAAAACGACCATGAAACATGGGAGAAACCAATCAACAATTTACCTCTGCGGCTGTCGTTTCAGTAGGAGTGGCGATGGAGTTGGGCGATTGACTTCCACCACGAAACCACAGAGGGAAGAAGAATTATTGGGATCTAATTCAGCTATCTTTTTTTGAATTTTCCAGAGGCCAGAAACTGATTTTTCATGTGAAGACTTCAAAAGAGACTTGTGCTTGTTCATAATATACCTTGGTCCATTGGATTTGTACAAGCAGAAGTTTTTGAGCGTAAAAATAAAATTTGGTTTTGGTAGCTTAATAAACGAAATGACTTGTTTGGCCAGCTGCATTTCCTTTCTTGCTTTTGGTAACTAACTTAATAGATGTCACCAATTCCCCCATAAAAACAATGTTGTTTTTTAAATATTATTTTGGTCATCACATCACGACAGAAGAATTTTTCGGGACCATGTAAGTTCTTTGTTGTTTTATCTTGTGCTACTTTTACGTTTTATTGGATTGTTTATTGTTTACTATCGACAACTAATGATTGATGTAACTTGTAAGTGATCTTACAAAGTGATAAATGATAAATGATATTATTATTATTATTATTTTATAAGTGATAAAATATTGACCGTTGAAGTGACTAGTGAGTGTTTCGTTCCTATAGTTGTAGAAAACAATAAACAGACATATGCACTATTTTTATTTGTAAATGGTTCAAAAATAGTTTGTACACGTCAACAACGATTTGTAAACCCTATCCCAAATATTTGTAAACTTTTCTTATGAAGTATAAATTCTTTGTTACAGACTACAAATTCTTATTGTATGCAACTGAAAAATGAAGATAGTGATATATATATTATATATACCATAGTCTAGGGGAACGGGCTGGGCTCGGATGTAAGAGTAGTTGCACTTTGGTGTGAGCGGAAGCCTATTGGGCCGTGACTTGCTTAACAGGTCCAATCAGCATTCTTGCCCTGGCTCCTCTGTCTTACTCTCTCAGTCTCAGATCTTTTCCCATTGAAACGACGCTGTACTGACCGCGTCCCAAATGCCCGAACCAGTCACCCCTAGTCACGGCTCGGAGAGCAGCCCGCTACTGGTTTTGTTCGTGTTCTCCGTTCGGCCAAGCTTCCCTTATCTGCCATTTCTCCGTTCTCGATCGCACGGACTTGCTTCTCTGCCGGCGCCGCCGTCGTCTACTTCTCCCTTCTCTCCCGCCTTTTCTCTCGGCGGCGCAAAAAGAAGAAGAGCCCGACTCCGTCTTGCTAATGCTCTTCCAGAATATCTCTGCCCGCTCTTCTCCTTCGCCAGTAATTTGGTACAGTTTCCAGTACTTATTCGCTCCAATTCATTCTTCATTCTAATTGTGCTCAATAAAATCATACTGGTGGAATTTCCGTAACTTTTTCGCTCCATTTGTGAAAGAAATGAATTGTAATGGGAGATTTAGTTAGTAAGAAGAATCATTGGATTTCCAATTTGAGACCTGGGAGATTGAAATTAATGAATAAAGCTGCGATCTTTTGACATGCAGTAGAGATTGAGCTTCGGTGAGAGCTTTGATGAGAGTTTGAATCAAGCAGTTGATGAAGAAGTGAAGAGTGTGGGAAGGGAAGGGGGGGTTTTGACAATGTTGGTGGGTGGTGGTTCTCGCATTTCACACCACTTACGAGAGTGCAACCACCGGCACCAGTACTATAGGGATCCCCAGCAAGCACTTGCAGTCGGGTTGGGCTTTTGCAGCTCAAGGATTGTTCAGCTCTCTTCCCTGATATTCAAACCTGAATCCACCGCTGTAGTTGGAGGCCGCCAGTACCGTAGCACAGTCAAGCCAAGAATCTTGTCATTCTCAAGCCTCCGGTCGAAGTCACCTGGTGAAATTCCCATTTTATCTGATTGTTTCAGGTAACATTCCTTGCCCCTCTCATATCTTTTTGTTCTCGCAAGTCTTAGTTTCGTTGTTTGTGAAAGATGAGTTGAGATTTAGGGAAAATGTAAATGAAAAGTTGATTAGGTTTGTAAATTTAAGGCTTTCTTAATGTGCTTGATGCTGCATTTCTTTATTTTCTTTGTCTGGCACGATCTGATGTGTTTATATGTATGTGACTCTTATTTGTATGTTCTATTTTTCGTGTGCATTGTTCCTCATGTTTGGTTAAGTAGCTGATGACTTTTCTTTGTGCAAAGCGATCGAGAAGATGATTGCAAGAACCTCTCTGAAGGATTGTCCTCAGTTGCAGGTTTGTTTTTGCCTACCACTTGCCTCTTGTTTCTACTCATAAATTTCGATCTACCTTTTGGTCACTTGCTAGCTTGAAAGAAACATACACTTGCTATTAGCTCAGTAGTTGAACACTAATATTTCAACATTGCAATGAGCGGCCACTTGTTGCACGGTGTACTATCTAAATTTTCTGCAATGGTAGCTTAAATAAGTTAAGGCTTTGTTCTGTCTATGCAATAACCACATGTGGAGATTTAGGGTTATCATTGTTCCTGACTCTGCTAGAATGATACTCCTGGTATACTAGAATCGTCCAGCTTTCTGGCAATTCCACGTCTAATCTGAAATTTAGATAGTTTTCAGCCTTTCCTTCACTATTGCAGGAGGAATAGTAGCACTTGGAAAGTTTGAAGCTCTTCACATTGGTCACAGAGAACTTGCAATTCAAGCATCGAAGGTTGGAGTTCCATATCTACTATCCTTTGTCGGGATGGCTGAAGTACTTGGTTGGGAGCCTAGGTATTCTTCATTTTAATGCATAAAACATCAAGTGTTCTTCGTTTGCCAACAGAGCTTCTCTTTGTCAATTCACTTCGCAGCTGTCACACTGTAGCTCTAAAGTTTACAGATCCAGTGAATCTATGCTCTATACTTGGATATGTCTAGTCTCAGCTCATATTCGTACTTTATTTTACAGGCCACCAATAGTTGCAAACTGTGATCGGCATAGAGTCCTTTCGTCCTGGGCTCCACACTGTGGAAATGTTGTTCCAGCAGAGTTCCAAATGGAGTTCTCGAACGTCCGGCTTCTCACTCCCCGGCAGTTTGTTGAGAAGTTATGCAAGGAGCTCGAGGTGTCCGGAGTAGTAGCAGGTAAAGAGCGAATCATCTCTCTGTTACTTGCTCCTAATATTTCCCATCTCATTCCTTACATCTTCGGTAGTGCCTTAACAACAGAAACCTATTCCAGGGGAGAACTATCGTTTCGGATACAAAGCTGCTGGTGACACATCTGAACTTCTTCAGCTGTGCAATGAACATGGAATCCAGGCTTACATCATAAATTCAGTCATGGACAAGCATCGACGAGATCCCTTGAAACTTGATATAAATGACTCGAAAGATAAAGGTCAAGTCTCTTCCACTCGAGTTCGCCATGCTTTAGCTGCTGGTGACATGGATTACGTGACTGAACTTTTAGGCCGCCGACATCGGCTAATGGTAACTGTTGAAGAACAGAATTTGTGTGGAATTGATTCCAGCAGATACAAGGTCTCTGTCCCAAAATCTAGCCTGTTGAACCTCCCGCCCAAAGATGGGGCTTACGAGAAGTGCTCTCTTTTTCTTGACGATGAACATGATGATCTAGGGACACCTTGTAGAGTAACTATTGACTCTACTACTGTCCATTTAGAGGTAGATTGCAGTAGTAGCCTTCGAGACGTTAAGCTTGTGGGCATTGAGTTTGGCGATTAAGAAAATTGGTTCAGGCTCAAATTTATTGGCTGTTATTTGACTTGAGATACAAGTAGATGTCTAATTTATTGTTGTTTTATGCGTTGAAGGGTTGAAAGCGTTGCAGCCTTGTAGGTCGCCCCAAGAACTAATTGGAGCAATACTCTTTGAGAAAGAATTTATAAGTATAGAGAACAAAATTGTAGTATACAATTTTTTTTTTTTGGGTAGAATCGTAGATTACATTTCAGATGCACATTGCAACACATTTCAGATTACATTTCCTATATACCGAACTAAAAAGAAGCTAGTGCAAATTTCAACTATCCTACATAGTACGCAGCTCAAAAACATTTGGTTAAGCTCTGCCATAATGTTATACAAACTCGCAGGAAAACAACTCCATTGTCGAGTAAGCTCTAATTTCAGGAATCCACAAAGTGCAGCACATGAACAAGAAACCTGCATATGGGTCCTTCACTTCACAAACGGAACCCCAGAAGGTGTCCGTTTAGCGTAATCAAGATAATTCGACCCGAAAAACCGCCTCAAGTAGTACTCCTCATATGGTATCCTCTTCGAGAAGAAACGCCACACAACAGCAGCAAATCCAACTGTCGAGACAGGATTGCACAGCATGACCTGAGTACCCACTGCCCAGATCAAGAAAGCTGAATAACTAGGGTGACGAACAAGGCCGTACACTCCATGAGTAACCAGCTCGTGCTGCTCCTCATGACGGGTCCTGATGAGATGAGTAAACGCTTGTCCAGCGGTTATAATGGCGAGCTTCCTTATTATCTCCCCAATCAGAACCATGACAAGGCCTAAATTGCTGATCCCCCAATGTTCTTTCAGGTCGGGAAACATCCATATTTCAAATGCGTACTCCAATACTGAGAAAGCCATGGCGACTAGATAGCCTCTGCTGATGAGAAGTGAGCTCAGCGAAACCTTTGATCTCCCATGTATGGAAACTGCTAGAATGAATTCTGATGTGTGGAAGAAGAGAACGGCCAGAAACATCCGATACAGCTGCGTGCTCGCGGTCTGAGTGAAAAGGTCTGCCATTTTGCTGATAACGATTGAGAAAACCTATGTGGCTGATGAACTTAAGGTATTCCACCCAAGCTTTATACTGTTGCTTGAGGAGTTTGGGTCCAGACCAGGAACAAAAGAACAAGCACACACCATCAGAGTTCTCGAACGTCCGGTTTTGATCATCACCCAAAAGGGTTAAAGGCGCTTAACGTACAACATCTGCAGAAGAGAAGCGAAGGCACTTCAGATGAGCTAGCCCTAGAAATGAAACTCAAAAGTAGTAACAAATGAAAGCCATAAACTTTTCTAGTAATTCCCTGGCACAATCCAATTATACCATGCAAATATACTAATTGAGAAATTGGGTCACATCTAAATCTGCAACAAAGCGAAATCAGGAGAATTTGCATCGATTCTCTACAGGAACTGAGCTTATAAGGAACAAATAATCATTCTAATCAAAGATAGAAAGCAACAGGAAAAACCAATTTGCTTCCACCGCTCAGATTAGTCGCAATACCCAAGCGAGTTGCAAGCGCATTAAGACCTAAATTTCGTCGAAAAGAAACAGGTATAGCAACTCCACCATTGATGGAGCTGTAGACAGTACCTGTTTGAGAGCTTTCTCTGATTCCGCCGAAGGGGGGAACAGGAACGAATTGAGAAGACCCTCCGGTGGCGGTGGAGGAGGATGACAATGATCAACGGCAGTTTACCCTGACGGAGGAGGTCGATGTAATCGAAGAATACGATGAAAGGAAGAAGGTTGCAGGGAAGGAATTATTTTTTCTCCCTTTTTTGGAAGGAATTAGTTAAGCGGGTGAAGATCTGTCTTTCGGGGTTGATTAGGGCCTACGGGCTCCCCTCGCCCATTTCATTCTTAGCCCAATAGCAAATGAGCTGTTTTAGGTTTTCGGCCTCGAAGGTAATGGGCTTATGGCCGATCTTTTCCTATTGACACAACTTCAAACCACACCTAACTTTTATACATATCAATTAAAGAATTTTTGTGTATGTGAATTAGAGAATTTTCAATTTATTATGATTTAATGTATGGCCGATATTTTAAAAATAAAAGTGTAAGGTGAATGAAAAATTTGTAACCAAGTATAACAAGTGACATAAATAAGCTAAAATTCAATACCTCATGAAAAGTGTGATGTAATCGAATTTGATAGTCCAACATTTGAATGCATCTGTTCTATTGTGTAATGTGGGTCGTTTTATATGCCTTATCTATAAAATGTTTGGTTATAATTGAGTTTGTATGCAAAAAAGCTTCCTATTCAAGTTGCCTTCAAATAATTTTGAGATTGTGTACAACTCTAGCCACACGAATAATGATACCTCCTTTAAGATGACTAAAAGACTATGATAAAAGAGCATTATCTCTCGTAACAATACCACTACGTGACATAATAGAAAATTACAACTTTTCTACCAATAAAAGAAAAAAAGAAAATTACAACTCATATGGAACCATCACTATTACTTGACTCATTGTTAATGCATAACCTGTAATAGCAACAACAACAACAACAAAGATAATTTCATGCATCTTTCTATTGCCATTGGTCTATTGCAATTTGCAACTCTTAACTCCTCCAATTTGATTCCCCTTTCTCTATTTATCTCGACCTTTTGTCTTTCTGTTCCACCACCATTATCTTCTGTCCCTCTCAGTTTTTGGGGTATGAATCACCATTTAATCAAATGATTAAAACATCATAAATTCAGGACATATATAATATGCACATGACAAACCATATAATTTAATAAAAAGAAAAAAACAGAAGATGACAGCAAGGCACACTTCTGGTAGCACAAGGAAATACCAAACAAAATTCAACAAAAGTACGCATAATAACGGGATTAATTAAATTAAATTAAATTAAATACAAGCGCACGGGAAAATTCAAAACAATTAAAAATCTCCAAATAATATTCCCTATTTGGGTGGCTGGAGGCTCTAGAAGCGGTATCTGTCGAGTGGATCCTTGAAGAGAAATGGTTCATGGTAAACTCTCCACGCATAATCCTCCATCTCAATTGACCTAAACTTCATTGATCCACCTCCTCCTTCTTCTTCCTTTTCTTCACAATTAGATTCCAGCTTAATATCAGAAACTAGTGGTGAGATTGTGCTTTCTAATGGAAGAGTCAGCAGCAATGTCATGGATATGTTCCTCTTTGATCCCAAATTACTTCTTTTCTTGTCATTTCCTAGTTCTTCCAAACACGGCACTGCCCTCCCCCTCACTTTCTTTAACTTCCCATTGCTCCACACCTGCAAAATTGTAGACATTGCATCAACCATTACAATACGGAGGCCAAATCTTTCCAATTCCATTTGATTGCTGAACTGTGAAGATGTGTGAGAAGGAGCTAGTGTGTGCAAAACGGAACGTAATCACGTTAAATTTTACATCTTACATGTGTCACATTCATCTAATACGTTAAGTATAATGTGTACACCTATCCATTCACCAATATAATCAAATTCACATTTATTTGTTGACAAGGTAACACAAAACGCTAATCAAGGCTTAACTAGTTCTGAATTTTTTAACAGGATTTTGTCAAACACGTTTCCCGCCAGACGTCCAACTTGGTGGGTGGTGGGTTTTGATTGATTATTTTGAGCAGCCTAATAAACAATGAAGGGACTGTTTGGATGGGTGGCATTCGTCACTGTCATTACCCCCACAAAGACAAAAAGAAAAGGACTCTTTGTTTGAATCGAAAGTTGAATTTGGCTCCTTAATAAAAGATAATACTAATTAATTTCTTAATCAGACCTTCCCCTTCTGGATTTCCGGGGGAGAAGTGGATCCCTAAATCCGGCCATAAAAGCTTACCTGCCAAACACGGTCCTACACTTACGCCAGCGACAGTAAATAGAATAACAGAAGGAAACAAAAAAAAAAAAAGTGGCTGACCTGTCCAATGTCACCGACGGTAACCAAAACCGACTCCACCTCGGGCAAGACGGTGACCCAATCTGACCCGGAACCCGGCAGCAGATACTTCTTCTGCCTCCGTATTTGGTACTGCAACCCGACCACGTACGGGTAGAACCCGCCGCCCGAAGGCGTTTCCCCGCCGCTCGTTGTCTCGCTCTCGCTCAACACCATCACGGAGCATAATCGGGTCGGATCTTCCCCACCTTTAAACGGGTTCTCGAACCCGACCCCACGCGCCAGCATTTCGACCACCTCCAACCCGACTTTCTCCAGCGCGTGAGTCAGCTCCCGCAAGGACGACAGCGACGTCAACTCGGTCGTCGCCGAGTCGTCCAGCCAAAACGACCCCCCGTTTCGGTCCTCTTCCTCGGGCTCGAATCCCAGAGGCCAGTTCCTCGGGAACTGCATTTCTTTTCTGTCGTCGGGGAGTTCGAACAACGCGAGCGATTCCGACTCGGCGGAATCGGCGAGTCGTGGGGCGATTCCGTGGCCGGCGAGTTGGAAGAACCCGTGTTCGGAGGCGGCGGAGAGGACTAGTTCGGTGGCGTTGGAGTCGGAGAGAGTGATGATTGGGGGAGGGATCGGTGGCGCGACGGCTGGGGCGGCGGCGGAGAGCGGCGAGGGGCGGAGGCGAGCGGGGAGGGAGAGGGATGGTGGGAGGCGGGTGAGGAGGCGGGAGAGGGTGTCGGCTGCCATGGAGGCGGAAGTGGTGAGGTGGTGGTGGTTCTGGCTGTGATTGGGTTGTGCTGAAGGGGTGGGCGGCGGTGCCGCGGTGGCGGTGGCGGCGGAGTAGGGGTTGGGGAGGTTGTGCTGGTCGTGAGCGGCGGAGGAGGAGGCGGCCATGTTTTTTGGTTTGGTGGGGAGTTGTTTTTTTCCAGGATTGGCGACAATACGCGCCAGGATTTGTAGGGGGAATTCTTGTGGTGTAGTGGTACACGTGTGGCTGCGCTCACACGTGCGGTTGTTCAATTGCATTCCTCTGTTTGATTGTTGTTTATTTGTTTACTAGATAAGGGTCCGGTGCCGGCCTCTTGGCCGGAAGAGTTTGATTTTCATGTGTATGTGTAGTAAATATTGAGGTATGTTTTTTTTATGGTTCATGTTGTTGGGGATTGAAGTGACTATTTAATTTAGTAAGTTCTTGGCTTAATACCCTATTTTGGCCCGAAGTTTGGCGTGAGTGTCAATTTTGGCCCGAATTTTTCAATAAGACAGTTGTGGCCAACTTTTCAAATTAATTGACAAATTTGGCCCAAATTTCTTTTTTGACCGTTTATATTGACGGTCAAACATCTATCCGTGAATGACTCAGCAAAACACTGCTGACGTGGTTGATGTATGGGTGCCATGTCATTATTTTTTTTTAATTCAATTAAAATAAAAGTTAAAAGAAAAACTTACCAAATTAAAAAAAACCTCTTATTGTCTCAAAATCCATGGCTTAAGTCTTCATATACTATCCACCTAACCGCCAGAATAATTAAAAAATAACAATAAAAAAGTTTTACATTTTTCCGGCGACCACCACCACTCTTTCTCCGCCGCTTCCAGCGACCAACCACAATAATAAAATTTATTAAGTCAATTTTTCCCTTATCGTCTTCGTTCCTCTTCCACCCGAGCCCATTCCAATCTTCAATCCCCCAATCCTGACCTTCAAAATTCTGCCCGACGTCACCTGAATAGCAGTCGAACAGAAGCAGGGAAAGCAATCGTTAACCAGCAGCTGGAGGTGAGGGTGAGGGCAATGATTTCGGGGGCGAGAATCAAAATCGGCAATCTGATGGGATAAAGATGGAGCGGGGGATGGCAGGCGGAGAAGAAAAGTAAACTGTCGATCTTCAAGGCTGACGCAGACGGCCAAATCATCAATCCCGTCGCCATCCCTCACCAGAGCGTCGTCTTGATCGTGGGGTCGAGCGACGACATCTTTAGTCGGGAAACGACCCCCTCTTCTGCCTTTTCTTACCCAATCAAAGCCCCAAATTCAAACCCTAATCTAAATCAACCACCATAGTGAAAATCAAAACAAAGGCGCCGACGAGAAGCAAAGGTCATTGACGCGGCGGCGACAGAGGTGACAGATCGAGGGTTGAGCTTTGGGAAGAAGGGTGGAGCTCGAGGAAGTATCAGATCCATTAGGGTTCGGTCAAGTTCTCGGACACAAACCCCGAGCGATCTAGCGTCGCGGCGGCAGAAGGGAAGGAGGAGCAATTGTCACCGCCGTAGTGGACCGGATCCTGCGTATGGAACGATGAAGAAGATGAACGGGCGGTAGAGAGGAAGAAGATGACGGGTGGGAAGGGGCGCAGGGATGGGTGAGGTTTGGGATTGAAATGGGGTAGAGAGTTTATGTGGGCCCATTCATATTTTTTATTTATGGAATTTTGAGAAATAAATATAAAATTGAAAAATAATATTAGCTGACATGGACGCCACCTCAGCACTGAATGATGAGTCATTAACGGATAGATGTTTGACTGTTAATATTAACAGTAAAAAAAAAAAATTCGGGTCAAATCTGTACATTAATTTGAAAAATTGGCTATAGCTGTCTTATTGAAAAGTTCGGGCCAAAACCGACACTTACGCCAAACTTCGGGCCAAAATGAGGTATTAAGCCTAAGTTCTTCCTAAATAATATAGTAAAGTATTTAATGTATTTGACTAATGAAGTTTAAAAAATGACAAACAATGTCAAACTACACTAACATAAATACATATTTTCAAATAAAGTCATATCCATATAAAAATGATGTTAATTTGATTTATTTATTTATAGTCCATGGTTATACACTTATACTCTCTTCCACGGCCTCGTTTTCACCAAAGAAGGGTTAAGTGCAGGTTGGACATGCACATGATTAGTTTGCAATTTGATATTGATACACCTGGAGATAATTCAAATAACAGTGAGTGAGTGGATAAGGGGTGGGGAACGGGAAACGGGTATTTGGGAATACTCGTACCCGTCCCGTTTTTTAAGGGTTACGGGTACTCATATTACCCGTAATATTTTAAACGGATGGGATTTGGGATTGTACAGTCCTAATATGGGTACCCGCGAATACTCGTTTGGGTAATATGGGTACCCGTTGTACCCATTCAAATTACAAAGACATTTAATTCAGCCCATGTGCCCAGGCCCAACCCAATTCAAAATCCATTCAAATTACAAAATCCATTTAATTCAGTCCGTGAGTGTATCTGGCTTCCCTCTGCTTCCTTCTTGGCTGTGTTGATTGTGGCAGTGGGAAAATCCGAAAATGGCAGTGGGTTTGTTTTCTGGATGTAATTGTCTTTAGCTAAATTGTCTTTAGCTAAAAAGTCAGTAAGGAAAATGAATGATTGTGTGTTTGAAATGAATGCTTTGGATGTAATTGACTAATTGTCTTTAGGTAAAATGTCATTTAAACTTTGGGTATTTATGGCTAATATGGGTACCCGTTATCCGTCCCGTACGGGTAATGGGTACCCGTTTCCCATATGGGTTTGGGATATGGGATGAACTTTGGTCTCCAAATGGGACTGGGTACCCGTTTAAAACGGGACGGGTATACCGTCCCGTCCCGTTGCCCATCCGTAGAGTGGATGACTGTGGGTGTATCGTGAATCATAAATATTCTACCTGCACTTATTTGAATGGGTGGGTTGCAGGTCACCCAAATGACATGCATCACACTTTCACATAACAACAAGTTTTTTTTGTTTAAACTATCTAACAGACATCATATTTCATAGCAATAATTCTAACCCGAGTTGTTGGGGCCAAACCAATTGGTTCTTGACATGGATCAAAGCTGGTTTGTCTTTGAGGTCATGTGTTTAAGTTCTCATGACTCCCAATATTAACCATTATCTTAAGCACATTATATGACAGGCCTCTACAAATTTCAAGCCCATAAGTCAGCCTTTCGTCTGAGGGAATGGGTGTAGCGATGACAACAAAACCCGAACCCACGGGTACCCTACCCGACCCAACCCGGTCAACGCGGGTAAAACCCGTGTTGACGAGTTTTGGGCCGGGTTTGGGTTTAAACTCGTTCACTATTCACCGGGTTGGGTTTAGGTAAACCCGCCCCATGGGTACCCGCCCACACTCATATAATTAATTTTTTCGGTATATTTGATATTCTAAACAACTAATCTTATTTATGTTTGTGGAGACATGTCTAATTTTTCTTTCTAATTGTGTAGAATGAAGTTGATATTATTGAGTGGAGAGTGAAGAAATTTAATTGACAAGGACTAAGACGCTTTCAATTAATCATGTTGTTTATGGATAATTTGTGATTTGCTTCAATTTTCTTGATTTTTCTAGATTGGTGTTGAACAATTTGTATGGTTAATTTGTGATTCACTGATTTGCTTGAATTTTTCACAATGGTGTTTTATATATGGATAATATAATTTGTATTGTGATATTGTTATTTGACTTTTATTTTGATAGGAATTTGTTATTGTAAAACTCACGGATACCCAGGGATTGGGTTGGGTTTGAGTTTTTCAAACTAGTGAATTTTACCCAGATTTTTTTTACAAATAAACTCATAGGTTTGAATTTGGCAAAACCCGACCTAACCCGATCCATTGCTATCCCTAAATGGGTGTGTCAAAACTCATAACAGGCAGGGGGAACTTCTTTCAGAAAGAGCAGCAGCTTCTTTATCTCGCGCAGCGTACGACGTTAATGACTTTTCATGTGCATGCTTTGCTTTTGCTATAACGAATCATTCATGAGTTAAAGTTCGAAACCGAAGATAGAAGTAACCAACCGAGGCAGGCTGCAGGCATTGCATTCATTGGGGGTAAAAGCGTTGTCCTGTGGGGACTATAATGATCCATCACTTTTTGCAAAGAATCCTTGCTGCCCTGTTTTCACGTAAGATAATGGGAATTCGTTGGCCTTGTTGTGAGGAACCCTGCCGCTAGCTAAGCTTGCTGCTGCGTGGCCGTAGTGCACTGCTGACCTCGTTCGAGGTAGTGCTCACCACTGCTACCCACTCCCACTGCACATATATTTATATGCCTACACTACACGGCTACACTCTCGTGTAATACAATTCAAAATATGCACAGCATGATTAATTTACCCTTATTCGAGTGTCTGGTTTGGTTTGTTGGGGAATATGTTATTATTGTATTTGCACGCCTAGCTAATTGCCTAAAGAATGGAAGTAAGAGCTAGACTGGTCTTACTCATTCCAGGAAACAAAACAAAAAAAAAAAAAAAAAAAAAGTAGAAGGAGAAGACTGGTCTACTCCCAGACATCATCAAGAGTTGTCTTATTAATTGCGTCCCTTTTAAGGGAAGAGTTTAGAAGAGCAGTCAAAGTAACCCATAAAATATTATCAGAATTCCAAAGCTCTTACACATGTCGTTAATTTGCGCCTAGCTATCAGCTATCAAAGCTGCTTATCCCCTTCTTTTGATGAGCCTTTAGTTCAGTTTGGTTCAGAAGCATGTGCCCAAGAGTGATGCTGTATTAATTAAGGATCCACATTATCCTTCTCTTCCAATTGAAAAAAAAATACAAAATATTCACAATATTGATAAAAATCATTTGAGGCGGTTGTTTCTTAATCATTTCGTGGTTCACACAAGTATTAATACAAAAAATTAGCAGTTCGAATAACTTTCTATTTCGTATACCGGTTTGAGAAATAACCAATGACACCTATCAGCGTATTGGAGATCAAACTTAACTCGAAAGCATGCTATTGCTAGAAAGGTATCGGTAGCATTGACATATGATCTAGAAACAAGAAAACAAAGAATCAGATTGAATCGAGAATAACGAAAAAAATAGAGAATCGAAATTTATCAGTACGATCCAAATTTAATTTAGTATAATTTTTTCCTTTCAATTATTACGAGAATTGTCAAAATGTTATCAAATATACTTTTGATTCGACACATCAAATGGGCGTTTGATAACCGGTTCGGTTATAAATTGGAGGTGGCTGGTGCACACTTATATTTAGTGGTCCAGAAATAAAGTCCATAAAATGGCATGATCATTGATCAACACCTCGAGCCCAGCAGAGTAGCCCGTCGACATTGGTATGGTACCTATCCCTACTGAACTGGGCTGAGCCCACCAGAAGGAAGGCCCAGCCGCTGATTATCCAGACGGAAACCGTGTGAAAACTGAAAAGTGAAAACGGAGGGCCGGCAGGTCGCAACGACGAGGAAAGGAATTATATTCGATTAGTCCGGCGAAACTTTTGGTCCGAGTGAGCAAGCGGGACCCACTTCCAACCCGAACGCTTAGCTAGCGACGCCACAACTCGACGAACTAACGAGCGTAACGAACTAATTTCAGAATCGCCGCTGGAGACTTGATTTGGTCATATCAGTATCCATCCCCCAACGCCGCCGGGCGGCCGGAGGAATTCGAATTCCACACCGTCGGTAGGAAGATTCACTTCCCGGAACATCAGAAGGAAGCCAACAAATCGGGCACGATCATCGTCTCCATTGAACTGCCTGCCGGAGGAATTTGAAATTAAACCGGTGCGAGCCGGAGCAGCCGAAGGAAGGAAGGAACTCTAGCTTATCGCAGTCGTCATTCGTCCTTTGTTTGACTCAACATGTTCTCTAAATTCTTTCGTAAGAATGCCAGTGTGGCGAAGCAACCTCAGCCTTCTGGTCAGGTATCTTGGTTTCTTGACCTCCCTCTCTATCTCTGCTGCAATGGCGGATATTGTAATGAGTTTTCCGAACTTGCTAGGGCAGAATTTGATGTTTTTACATTTATCCATTGAACGAAATGGAAAACATACCAGAAAACTGGTCAAGAGTAGAATTGAATTGAGTTTGGAGAAGCATAAATTGTGGAATTGCTAAGTGTTGGTGTTGCTTTGTGACAGGAAAATGCATCAAACGCGATCTTAACTTCCAAAGACATAAATCCTCGGGTTAATCTTCACTATGGAATTCCATATACCTCCTCTGTTATGGCTTTTGATCCTATTCAAAGCCTTTTGGCAGTAGGAACACTGTCAGTCCCCAATTCCAGTCCCAATTCTTTTGTTTTTTGAGATCGTTTCAGCTTCAAATCTAGCTTGTTCAACTACTTTAACAGCAAGGTTTATGCTTACTGAAGTCAGGTGGCTTAGCTTTTGTTGGTTATTTGTTGCAGGGATGGGAGGATAAAAGTGATTGGCGGGGATAACATTGAGGGGCTTCTGGTGTCTCCTAAGCATTTCCCATTCAAGTACTTGGAGGTTTGAAATTATGAAGCACCAGTCTTTAAGCATCTTCGTTCGCTATAATATAGCGTACACCCTTGAAAATTTACTTCCATGTTTTGGTTTGGCAGTTCCTACAAAACCAAGGTTTCTTAGTCAGTGTGTCAAGTGAAAATGAGATTCAGGTAGAGTTTCTGCTGACGCTCAAAGATTAAATTTGGAACGTAAATGTGTTTAAAGTAGGTGAATTGGTGGTTGTTTGGTGCCTACAGGTTTGGGATTTAGAACAGAGACGGATGACGTCTTCCTTGCGATGGGAGTCCAGTATAACTGCATTCTCAGTGATACATGGATCAAGCTATATGTATGATACTTGGAATTTGAGAACTGTTTCCCAATTTCATATTGGAGCAGCGATTTATTGTTATACTCTATTTGACATGCTATTATGATCTCAATGCTTTAGGTATGTTGGAGACGAGTATGGTATGGTGTATGTGGTAAAATATAATGCAGAAGAAGCATCCCTTGCGCCTCTCCCATATTATGTTCCGACAAGTGCAATAGATGGTAATCATAAACCTCTGCCACCCCTTTTGATGAAAAAAGAGTGGAAGGAAGGGTTATGTTCAAGAGCTTTCTGCATAAGCTTCTTTTTTTGTGATAATTATAGAAGCTTGTCCGGTGCTCCTGTTGGTGATACCTGTACATAATTAGCACTGGATTTTGCTGAATTCCGCAGAAGCATCTGGAGGATCTTCATCTGGTCAACACTCTATTGTAGGAGTTCTTCCCCAGCCATCTTCTCAAGGAAATAGGTTAGTGCCTCTCAATTTTTTTTTCCGCTTTTCTCTTGAAAGAGTTGGAATCCTGCTAGTTGTATGTTCTTCCCCTGGTCAGTGTGAGGCTGGATGTCTGCTCCCTTCTTGCTTAAGTCTTCCTCTTTTTGCAGAGTGTTAATTGCTTATGATAATGGATTACTCATTCTATGGGATGTGTCTGAGGATAAAGTTGTCGTAGTTAAAGGGAATAAAGATCTTCAGTTGACGGGCAAAATTGCTGTCAATTCTCAAGAAGAATTATCACAGGAGGAGCCTTCAGATGATGAACAATTGGAGAAAGAAATAAGTGCTCTGTGTTGGACATCTGGCAGTGGGACAGTTCTTGCTGTGGGTTATGTTGATGGAGACATAATGCTGTGGAACTTATCAACAAGTGTTCCATCTAAAGGAAACGATGTTGTTAAGCTACAGTTATCATCAGATGAGAGAAGACTACCAGTCATTGTTTTGCATTGGCGTCCAAAAAGATCACGTGATGACTGTTCTGGCCAACTCTTTGTCTACGGTGGTGATGCAATTGGCTCTGAAGAAGTTCTAACGGTATGCTCTACAATCTTTTAAGGTTATTTCTCAAGTGGACCGTAGTTTGAAAGGTCTTACAACAAGTCATTTTTGCATCAAACTTTAACTTACTGTGGACAGTCTGTTGTTTCACAGTCGAGGTCGGCAAGTTTAGTTGAAAAATCAGTGCATGATACAGGATTCCTTACGAAGACAAATCAAGAAAAGTTAAAAAAGTTCAACTAGGGTGTTGTAGTTCAAGATGTAATGATAGCAAGTCCGGTTTAAAGGTCTTTTGGATAGCGAAAACCTTGTTATTGGCAAATAAGACCTGCCTATGAGTGTTATATCATGACTGATCTTTGCATGGTTAATAAACATTCATTAAATGCACCAGTTAGAAAGAAATAACTATCTAAGTGACTACTAGTAGGTGGTCTTTATTTTTCTTAGTCCAGGAGGAATCAATTTACTTGTTTCACATTCAGTGAATTTACTATGAAATATGCATTGGGTTGTCTATCTTTCTCAGAAAAATATCAATTATAGATTTCACGACATGCACATTCTAACTGAAGTACACTGATGCAGATTTTAAATCTGGACTGGTCTGCCGGAATTGGCAAACTAAAATGCATTGGACGAACTGACATTACACTCGGTGGCTCTTTTGCTGACATGGTTCTATTCACAAGTGGTGCTTCAGTGAATACAAGTGGGATGTTGGTATTGACAAATCCAGGACAACTGCATTTTTATGATAGTACTTGCTTGTCTTTTTTGACATCAAAGGAAGAGAAAAAATTTACTGTGTCTCCAATTGAATATCCCATGGCTATACCTACTGCTGAGCCAAACATGACTGCAGCAAGGCTTGGTTTGATATGTGTAGATGGGAACCTTCTAAAGGCTTTATCCGAGGTATGGTTCGTTTATTATGCTGTAGGTTTCCATTCATTTGCACGCAAAACTATGTCTAACTCCGAGCCAAACTGTCAACGTGAAACCAAGTTTGACATTCGGCCTCAGTGTTATATTGTTTGGCTGCCTCCAATTATTTGCCATCTAAGGAGCTCATCTCCCTTTCCTCCATTGTTGTTCAAGATGTAGAAACAATTCGTTTGTCCCAAAAAACGCAAAACAGACACAGGGAATTGAACATAAAAAGAAATATATTAGGAGAAAATTAGTCGAAATAGCTGCTGAAACTTTATCTAAAGAAATAATATGGATTATTTCTTCTCATCTGCCATATTGTCTTCGATTTTTCCCTTTAAGCAATCGGAACCTCTTGCATGTTCTCACATTGTTTCAGCTGGAAAGCATTGCGGCACAATTTTTAGTGCTTAAGTTCATTGAATATTGGTTTCTGTAGGCTCAGTTAACATATGTTCTCCTTTTCCTAATCAGAAAATTTCTGCTGCAAAATTGAGAAGGGTTGAGGTTTCTGGAAAATCAGCTTGGCCATTGACTGGTGGCATTCCTAGCCAATTTTTGGAAGCTGAAATTTATAAAGTTGAAAGAGTTTATATAGCAGGATATCAAGATGGGTCGGTCAGAATATTTGATGCAACATGTCCAACCTTTTCATTATACTGTGTCTTAGGACCCGAGGTTTGTTTGGCAGCACAATGTCTTCTTACAAAATGTGTATCAACGCTATAAATATCAATGGTGATGAAAACCTAAAAATTGCATGATGGCAGGTCAAAGGTACAAGTATTGCTGGTGCAAATGCACCAGTATCTGCACTGGCGTTTTGCTCCCCCAAGTTAACTTTGGCTATTGGCAATGAACTTGGTACGGTAAGAGTACTTGGAATTTTTCTATGATTCTATCAAATGCCTTCTTTCCATCATTTTTAAGGTCATATGCTCCCAGTATGTCTAAGTTTTGCATATCGTGCAGGTACTTTTATACGATTTGATCAGGACTACTGATGCAATGCAGCTAAACTTCGTTACAGAAAATGGAAAGGAAGGTACCAGTTCTGTATCTTCTATATGGATTGATTGGTGCTCAGCATAACCATATCGTCATTACAAAGGAAACAAAATTCTCCTGCCTTATTTACATATCAGTAATTTGCAGTTTACACTGTGCGCGGAGGGGATGAGCCTCACTGCACAGCCGTGTTTTCCTTCCATACTTCACATATAAGCACTCTTCAATTTCTGCATTCTGGATCCAGACTTGGTGTGGGATTTCACTCTGGAAGGGTGGGGAATCATTTGTTTGGCCCTTTATTCCTTATGTTTCTCACTTTTATGTGTGTTGAATTGGTAACTTGCAGTGCCACAACTTCTTATTTGTTAACACATTGGCTGATGGTGTTTCAGGTGGCATTGCTTGATATTAACACATACTCAATTTTGTTCCTCACTGATAGTATGTCCAACTCGTGTTCTCCTATCAAATTACTGGATATGAGACCATCAACAGAAACTACTAGTGTGATTAAGGATGTAGGGCAGAGTGAATCCAAATGTATGGGTAACAATGCCAATCAGGAAGTTTTTGTTGTGACCAAGGATGGGCAGTTTGTCCTTCTAGATGGAAACACGGGCAATATCGTCTTTTCTCAGTCTTTGAAAGCTGAAGAAGAATCGACTGTTATTTCTATGCATATCATAGGTAAGTATTGCAGGTTATGGTGGCATATTGCAGAACTGTGATTAAACTTACCTCCCTGTGGATCTTACAGATTTTTCACGACCTCCCCCATGTAGATAGTAGCATGATGGCGTGGGAAAGTGGAGCCACTCATGGTAGTGATAATCCACTCAATGCGGATCAAGAAGCTACTTCAGGTGCATCCAGTTGTGGGAATAGAGCTGAGAGTTTCTTCCTTGTGCTTTCTTGCGAAAGTGCATTGCACCTATACTCTGTCAGTGCTCTTAAGGAGGTTTTTTTACTCTTATTTTAAGTTTCTGGTTTCAGAGCTTCCAATTCTTTCTCCTTTTCCAGCAAGTCACATAGTTTATAATTTTTTAGGGAGGTACAACCCCTGTTCATACAGTGAATCTTTCGAAGCCATGTTGTTATTCTATAACTTTCAAGAAGGATGGCAAAGTTGTTGGACTCATTGTTATTTATCAGACTGGGGAAATTGACGTGAGGTGAATCACCTAGTTTCTTGGCACTCGATTGAATCTGTGTATCTTGGTTTGGTGGTGCATCTGCTCTTTGATGTTCTTGCTGCATCTACGTTAAATCAGTTTTTGAGTGGAAGCTGATCTATTTTTTTGCAGATCTTTGCCGGACTTAAGATTGGTGGGTGAAAGCAATTTAATGTTTATTCTAAGGTGGAACTTCAAGACTAATATGGATAAGATGATATGTTCCTCCGAAAGTGGACAGATAATCTTGGTTAGTAGTTCCTGCTTTTATCTGTGTGTTACTTAAGGCTTGCAAAGTGTTAGAAACATACTTATTCGGGTTAGGATATTTCAGTTAGTTTAATATGTTAAGTCGATTAGGGTTTAAAAGCAGTGCAGGTTTAAAAGCTTGAGTGTTAGAAACATACCGAAGTCTCATTCTAAACTTCAAACCGTATTCTACTGCTTGTTAGCGGCGGTGTCTTTTCTGACCTCCCAAAAACACAGGTCAAAAGCTGTCTTTTCCGGCATAACCTTTATCTTTCTGTTTATGTATTTTCTTCTCTAAATTTTCAGCTGCCATCATCTGACATTTTCTCATACATTGCATAATATATTTGGTCATCTTATGGAGTTGTTATCTGGAACCTCTTAATACTTTGTAGTTCAGTTCAAAAGTGGAAACATAATTTTGAGAGCTACTCCAATCTTCTTGAATTGCAGGTGAATGGGTGCGAAGTTTCTTCAGTATCTCTTCTGGCATTTGAAAATGACTTCAGGTTTCTCTATATCATCCTCAAGCCCAATTGCACATTATTGCATTAAGGCATGGATAATACCTGTTCCTTGTTATTTCGAGAATGGATTTGATTTCTAAACAATTTTCTGTGAATTCTAGGATTCCTGATTCTTTACCTGTCCTTCACGACAAAGTGATTGAAGCTGCAATTGATGCTGCTGCCTACAATTTGTCTCCGAGTAAGAAGGATAAACAGGTAGATGACTCTTTCTCTCCACTTATTTCCAATGAACAGTTCTACAGTTGTGTGAGCTCCTGTTGCTGCAGGGTTCCCTACCTGGAATTTTAGGTGGCATCCTCAAGGGTTTACAGGGAGGTAAGGTGGAGGAGCAGAAAGTGGGGTTTCCTGAGGTTGGGAAGAGTAACTTGACACATCTAGACACCATATTTTCCAACCCCCCATACTTGAAGCCTTCTTCTGTGGACTTTGACGAGGATGACCAAAACGATGCCGTGGAACTAAGCATAGGTTCGTTTACACCACAATTTATGTCTTCAACTTCATTTCTCTGTCTCTTTCTCTCATGTTTACACTTGGCACAGATGATATCGACCTTGATTTTGACGAACATGTGGTGGTGGAAGCATCTTCCGCGAAGGAGAGCAACAACGATAAGAAAGGTATGTCCTTCAACTGTCTGATGTGTGGCAGGTACTTCTATTGTGATATGATTCTTAATTTTGCGCTGCTGCAGACAAGGGAAAGGAAAGGGAGAAGTTATTTGAAGGTGCAACGACTGATTCCAAGCCCAAAATGAGAACAGTTGAAGAAATCAAGGCACAATACGGGAAGGAGGTATAGTTCCCATTGCCCCCCACGATGAGTTAACCTGTTCATTTCACTTCTGTTATGGATTTGGCTTCTATTTACCACATTCATCATGGCTGGCATATCTTTTCAGGATGCTGCTGGAGCAGCTGCACTTGCGAGGAACAAGCTAGCCGAGCGTGGTGAAAAACTTGAGGTGGAGTGTTCAATGAATCTTCTTCTACTACTTATGTTGTTTCATAAATTGTTGCCCCTGGGCAGATGCATTTGTTAAAACCACACACGAACAACCAGATCATTCGATCACAACAAAGAATCAAAACCAATCGTTTTATTGGTTTTAATTTTGTTATTCACTTTGCTTCTCACTGACTTGAAATCTTTGCTGTGTTTTCTTGTATGCTCTTTACCCCGAAACAGCGGCTGAGCCTGCGAACAGAGGAACTGCGGAATGGGGCCGAAAATTTCGCATCGATGGCTCAGGAACTCGCTACACTAATGGAGAAGCGTAATAAATGGTGGCGGTTATGATCATCAGATCTCGTACCCTGGACAAAATATCCGTGAACCAGCTTGCTTGGCTTTCAAGGTACAGGAGAAAAGAAGCCATTGTTGGCCCTTCATTTGGGTAGGGGCACTCTAATTACTACACACACTGTACCCTATTGCCACCCGATCCCCGAACCCCTACATTTTGACGTGTGCATAAAGTATTTGGCTATTAAAAATACAGTGACCGCGTGAGGGTCTGTATTTATCTGTCATAATGCATAATTAACAGACTTGTACATTGTCATTTGTGAATACAAAGAGGGCGTGAACACAATATTCTGCCTTCAGTAACAGCCATATGACGACGACGTGGTTAGAATGAAGAAAGAGTATTTGTTCTGCAGACAGAAGAGCGACCTCTTATTCACAAGCTAGAAGCCTTCCTCTTAGGAACTTTGCACGACAAAAGAAGTGCTTTCTTCTTACTGATTTCCTGTGATTATGTGTCATGCATGAATTGCAGCTGAATGATGAATAGAATGTGACACCAGCAACGTTGCATTGACCTCTTTCACCCAACTTGATTGGTCTGCAATGGGGGAGCTGAGAACCTTTTGCGGTCCTCGACTCATTATACGATCTCAATAGCTTACAGAACGTACGGCACTCATGAATGAGGATATTCTGGATCGATCCTTGTTGATTCCATCAGAGCCACAAATGCCACTGCTAACATCTATACCATCAGGCTTGAGGGTTGCCAAGGCTTCAGAAACGTTTTCAGGGTTTATCCCTCCTGCTAATAGCCAGCCATGCTTGCTTCTAATTGAAGGTAACTTAAACTGAGTCCAGTTGAATCCCTTTCCACTGCAAACAACATTAGGCAAAACACTTAGTGAAGAACTTGCTAAAATCGTCGACGATGACTGTATTTGAAATTGCTAATTGATTGCATGAATGGAGATGGTAGTACCTGCCCCCGGTTGCGCTATCAATGAGAATCCAGTCAACCAGAGAACTTTCTTCATCTGAAATTTGATTTTGAAGCTCCCCATCCTTGTTTGCATGAAGAACATAGACTATTCGTGTATCCTGAACTAATTGTTTCAAAGCTTCCCGTGAACCACCCCCATGAAGCTGTACAAATTCAAGATCAGCAACTTCTGCAGCTCTCATTATCGTTTCTGCATCATCGTCAACGAATACACCAACAGGTTGTGCTCCATTTTCCCTAGCAACTTTAGAAATTTCTTTCGCAACCGAGAGTGAAATTGAACGTTTAGATTTGGGCCATAGTATCATCCCAATAAAATTAGCTCCAGCTTCGGCAGCAATTGCAGCATCTCTAGCTGATGTTATCCCACACATTTTAACCACTGGTGACCTCATATCACGTTCCTTACTAGCGCAAGATACTTTCTCAGACAAGCAAGTAACTCCGGTCCTTGACCAACACTGAATTTTCAGCCATTTCAGTCTCCCAACCTTCACACCTGCATATTGTCAAGTTCCCACTTTACCAAGTTCTTGTCACCAAATCTGTATATTCTAGAATCCCTAGCGAAACCTTTAACATGATTGTATATACAATGCCAAGCTTTTCGCAGAATTGTAATCTCGTGCTCAATCACTATTCTTGAAGAGGCAAAACGTACCAGGAGCAAGCTGTCTTTGCAACCTGGAAAACCCAGGTTGTAAGTAACTCGCAGTGTTGATGCTCATCCCTGCATCCGGTAAGGAAATGGTGAATATGAACTCAATCACATGAACTGACTAGCTATCTGCATTCTGCAACCAAGGAGCAAGAACAAGGAGGCGGCAATGCCATCTTCCTCAAAGCAAGACAAATACGCAGTCACACTAGGGAGGACGATGCAGGATCAATTTGCCCACCAAACGGGTTCATCAACATGAAATTTTTCCTATATTCCTTTTCCTTGCGACTTCTAACACCAATGTGCATACAGATTCTCAAACGTGGATGGGAAATCCATGCATTAGTGAAACCGTCGCCCACAACGTAGCTCAAACAAACCATTGATTTCCCGAATTTCTGAAAAAACAAGACAAAGCCCTAATTCCTAAAAACTGCGAATCAAGTGTCGAGCTCCCAAAATCTTACCTTGCGCGCAGAAATCGAAAATGTCGAGCAATCCCACCGGTGCCCCCCCTGCTTTATATTCAACCTGCCGCGTCGTCGTCTCCAGTCGGCGACAGCGACAATCCAATTCTGGCGAGTGCCGATGGACGCCGCGTCGAGCTTAGCTCTCGTTTGTCCCTCGTTGCTTCTCTATTCGGTGACTGCAGACTGCCGAAATGAAGCACTAAACGGTGGAACGCCAAACTGGAATGGGCGTAGAAGAAGAATGTAGAGAATGCCAGAATGCATTTCGTCACGGCAAAGCTTCAGTAGTTGATATGTTTTGCTGTATAACACGCCGGAATCCGGACCAACGCGGTGTCGTTTGGTTGAGTTGATAATGATATCCCTTGGTTACACTTGCAAATGAGGAACATTATTATTATTTGTTAAAAATGAGAAGCATTATGCTATCACTTTAGTGGAATCAGAATATTGAAAGCCCTTTTTACCAAGAAAAAAATACAAAAGAATATTGAAGGCCCACAATCTCTAACGTGTATTTTTTTAACAATTACAATAACTATTGTGTCATTTACATATTGAATTTGAAAATAAGGATTTTGAGTTTTAAAATTTAATGCATAATCCCTAACATGTCATTTACTTAGTTGATTTTTTATTCTAACTAAAATATTGAATTTGCAAATTCGTGGATTCATGGGTTTGGATCTAAAAAAGTCCAAAATGTGGTGCTCACATATTTGTTTTTCAAATTTTTCGAAACAATGAATTTGTCAAAATCCATTATACTTGAGAAATAGATATCAAATCCATCACCCAAATCTCACAAACAAATGACTCTCAATATTCACGATACACTAAGGTTATTCGCATCATATAAATAAAGCCTTTTATGATTCTTCAAACACCTAGTTGAATGCAACAAAGAGTTTGGTATCATCTCTCATGCTAGTTTTGTTTATATCTTTAATTATTTTAGCAAACATCTTGCGGGTGAATTCACGAGATGAAAGCAAAAAAAACAAGATGAAAAACCAATAAGAAGATAAATCAAGAAAACAACAGTAGCAACAGCAACAGGAGCTGAATATGCAACAGTAATCCAAGGACGAGAGACTTCATTAGCTATTGCTTATTACAATCTTGACAACCATCTCCACCTTCCTCTCACTAGAAAATCAATTATTTCTCTTTGTTCGATGATATAGGAATTGTTCAGGTGAACAATTTTTTATAAAAAAAAAAAAAAAAAACAGGAAGCTTGATTCTCATCTTAATTTTCTATGGAATTGATTCCAGATAAGCTGTAGGAGTAAAGGACGTTATCATGATTGAGCAAAACTCCATATGACACTTGGCGACGTTAATTTCATCATCATTATTCTTCCAGAAAAAAAAGAAAAAAGAAATATAAACTCGAAACAAGTGACCACTGGTTCCATAATATCGTTACTCCTAACATTCGCGTACGAGAAATAACAGAATAATATGGGTGAGAGAGAGCTGTGGGGAGCAAAAAGGCAAGAAAATATGGGGAAAAGAAAGAAACAGAGAAGAAGACGCCAATCGGGAAAGGTGGTTTATTGAGATAAGGCGGCCGGCCAAGTGCCAACCAATAATACTCTAAAGTCTAAAACCCAGGCCAGGCCAGGCCAGGCCAGCGCACGCCTAATCAAAAGAAAGGAGCGGAGGAAAAGAAAATGCAGAATGAATGAGAGAAAAAAGGCAGCAGAGCAGAGGAATGGGCTGGAGCTGGCGGTGGTGGGCCTTCTCTTCCCTTCCCTGTCAATTCTCATTGTGGATTCTACTTCTTGGCCGCTGCTGGCCGGAGAGAGAGAGAGAGAGATAAAGAGAGCGTCCTCTAACGATAATGCTGCTGATGACAACGATATTGAATGAATGAATGAAAGCAGGCAGCTCCTCACTAATAATTTGTTTTCATTTTCTATGGTTTCCCTTTCTTCTTCTTCTTCTTTGATTAATCAATCCCCAAAAAAGAAAAGAGGAAGCATGGCCACCGTCCCCCCAGGTCATGGTCGGCCCAATTATTCCATTACCTTAACGCCATCTGTCCTTTTGACAATTCATGGTGGAGAAACGAAAATGCTTCCCCTCCCCTTTCTACCCACCCACTAACCCACAACAATTACACCAGCCCAGAAAATGCAATCCAAATCAGAGATCATGAAATCCACTGAAACCGTGGTAGTGGTATGACGTCGCCACAAGTTCACAGCTACAAACTTACATGACAAACAGAGGTGATTCTGGTGCAGTTTCTCTTTGCGCTTGTCATCACCCCATATTCCCATGGCGGCTCTGCCACAGCCCGTAGACCACAGTTCCATGGCGCCACCACAGTCCAGCAAAAAACTTCCAGCTTCAACTTTCAACATATATATTTATAATCATCAAGGTAGCCAGAGAGATTCAAAAATTGCAACCTTTTCCATCCGTCATCTGTAAGGCTGTAAGCAGTAAGCCTGTTTGGCTTCCTAAGAGATCACCATCATCTAGAAATAAGACTTGCGACAGAGACGGAAGAAGAAAACGATGCCATGTTTGGACTTTGGACCAAATCAAACTCATCTTATGAATACTACTATTGCCATTGCCACTTGCCAGGGAGATAGAGTCATACGTAGGAACTAGGAAACAACAAACAAGAACATACATAGAACAGAAATGGCCCTTCTCTACCATTTTCATTATTGTTATCAAAGAGGTTACAGGGGAAGAACAACAACACAGAGACTCTATCTCTCTCCCCCCTCCCTCGATCTTCAAACATAGAGGAAGCGAGGAGTACAAGCAGAGATAATACAATAACAAATATATGAAGATATATATTGAATTCAATTAAAGAATATAATCACCTTATCTTTGCACCTAAGAGTTTCATCCTAGTTTTCCCTTTTTGTTTCACTTGTCTGTGCCTCCTCACTTTTGCTCAGAGAATGCGAACACAATTAGTAAATAAGAGATTACTAACAACAATTGCGAGATGAATTTAATAATAAAAAGAAGAAAACAACTGTCAGGTTGATCATCATCACCATCTTCATCCTCAGGATCGTCAAAGGGGGAGGTTTCTCCCACTCTTCCCCGACTTGAACTTATGCCACCATCTGCTCCTGCTCTATATACATCTGCTCCATCCATGGTGGAATGGATGACTCACGAACGCCGCCACTCCCATGGCTGAAACGATTATCACGAACACCTCCATCGATGCCGGATGGAACCTCCTTAACCAATGAGTTAACCCATGACACATCAGGCTCGCCATTGTTCGACATCGCCAAACTTGCAGGCCTGGTTGTGGGACTGTTGTTGTTGTTGTTGTTGCTGCCTCTGAACCCGAAAGAAGCAGACCTCTTGAGCTTGTTCAGCTCATCTCCTTGCATCCCCCAGTCGAGCTTCCCATCAGGTGAGCCCCAATCGGAGAGATGGTTGGGGGATGACATCATCGAAATCGAGTTGGCTGCTGGTCCGGAGAAACCATGGCGGTTGTTGGCTACTGCACCACGGTCGATGAAACTCTGGCTCCTTTTTGTAAAAGCTGAGGACCTAGAGTTCATCACAGCAGCAGCCACTGCAGCGGAAGAATCAAACCCTCCATATGACCCCATCTTCCTCACCGATTGAGGAGAGGATGACATGTTGGAAGGGTAACTGGAACGGAGTTGGTTCACGTTCTGGCGCATCTGAAGACCGGTTGGCGAATGCATCCGAGAAGGGTCGAGCGATCCGAATGCATCGTCGAGGTTAGTAGGGTTCATGTCTCTCCAGCAGGTTGGTGAGGAGAGCCCCGAAATCTCTTCCATCAACTGTTGCTGCTGCAATTGGTTGGTCTTGTTCTCGAACCTGAGCAGCTCCAACTCCAGATCAAAATCTCTGGCACTCATAGCAGTCTTCAGCCTGCTTCCTGGAAGCTGCAACGCAGGTGGGGTGAAATTGATCTTGTTCTGCCACAACCCCCCAGCCTTTGGAGATGAAGAAGCCGTTGCTAAAGGTGACATGGGGGGTGTGGAGCCGGTTGGCATCGGCATAGACATCGAACCCAGAGAAAGCGGACTCAAAGAAGCCATCTCCATCCCGGAAGCAGAAGACCTAGGAGGAGAAAGCATAGCTGAACCTGTGGAGGCATGGACCGGCCTCAGCTCCTCAACCTTATGAGCAAAGAAACACACTTTCCTCGCACAACCAGTCTCGTCCTTGCAAAGCCTTGTCCTATACTGAGCAGGATGCAGCCACGACTCGAACACACCATGAGCATACTCACAGGAATCACCCTTCTGGCACGAGCCCTTACGGAATTCAGGGCAAGGGACACAGCTGTAAGGGTACTTCCTTGGGTCCCTTCTCCTCGCGTTCTCGCCAGGGTGGACAAAGGGGCACTCGGTCCAGTCATGGGAATATGCCCTCGAGCAGGGCTTGACCTTGAATGAATACATCCTGAACTCATCAGTACCATATACCCCGGTGTTGATATCAGGGAGAGACACATCGATAGGATACTCTTTCCTCTCGGTTGCTCCTTCTTTAGCTAGCTGAGCTGGAACAGCCATGATAAGCTTCTCTTCCTCGTCTTCACTCAAGCTCTCACCCTTGAGCAACGACTCGATCAGCTTCCTCCTCGAGTTGCAAGGGCACTTGGAGGAAGGCATGAAGAGATCCGCCGGCTTGTTTCCATTAAGGTCAACACAATCAGCATCAGCTGAAGCATCAAGCAACACCTTGACGATCTCCACCGAGGAATTCGAGCCCCCAGCTACAGCACAGTGCAAGGCGGTGACCTTATCTGAGCCACAAGCTCTGTTGACATCGACTTTCCCAGTTGCAACGATGTATTTCACCACGCTTGTGCTTCCGAACAAGGAAGCAATCATGAGAGGGGTTCGGAGTTCAAAACCCATCTTCCGAGAGGCGTTTCTTCTGACATACCAGTAGCTTGCCTCATCAACATCCAGCCCTTTGCCTTCGACTTCGTTTCTGAAGAAAACTAGATTGTCAGAGGCAGCAAGCTCTAGCAGAACTGAGCACCTAGACAAGGTGCTGCCTTTCTGCTTAAACGAAGGCTCTTCCATGTTGTTGGAGTTGGAAGGCGAAAGAGCAGTCTTGGAGCCTTTGCACATAAGTAGATCCTGCAATAAGGAATTTTCAACCAATCTTATGTCAGACACCGCGTTAAACCAAATTCAAAACAACAGACGTGCCAAAAAGTCTAACCAGAACACCTCAACTCAACAGTGGTAGGACAAGAAAAGAAAACCCTAAGTCCAGAAGGTTCTAATGATAGCTGAACAAGAAGAATTCAATTCAACAGAGCCGGGGATAGAAATTTTAATCAGCAAACCCTCAAATCCGCAACTCTATTCCATCTCAGCTTATTCCTACCTAAAATTGAAAACCCACCAAACTTCACAACACAAAAAGGAACAGGGAAACATGGAGAGCTATAAAACCACCGCAAGTCAAATCCAAACCCCCCAAACGAAGACTTGAGGAGTCTTCGAAGAAGAAATAGCCCAAATCCAAGCAAAACCCAGAACCAAAGTTTCAAACTTTTTTCACCAAATCAAAACTGAAAACCCCACCAACAAATCATCCTCTAACAAAAAAAAAACCCAGAAGACAGGTTGCGCTTACCTAATATTCTCTTCTGTCGAGAGATGGGATAGGATTTAGGTGACACCAGAGTCTGCTTCTTTCTCCGAAAGGTTGTGTGTTTTCCTTCTTGAATTGAAGAGATCGAAGAGAATTGATGGAGAGAAAGAGAGAGAGGTCTCTCGGTTTAGTCGTTGATGGGTGAAGAGCGAACTGATTGAAAGAAAGAAGTGAGAGGCGCGTCTCTATATATTGGGGGTGGTTTTTCCTTCCAGTCCTTGTTCAGGTTTTAGGAGCGGAGGAAAGAGGGAGGAAAGTTAGGACTTTTCTTCTTTCAGCTTTTATTATTTTTAATAATTTTTATATTATTATTATTATTATTATTATTATTATATCAGTATTATATTTTTATTTGCTTATTATTATTATTATTTTTCTTTTTATCTTACTCGTTGCTTTTGCTGTGCGCTCCTGTTTTTCCTTTTCAATTTTTTGTTTGTTTCCAAGTTAAGAGTCAAAGTCAAATCTTCAAATGGCTGAACTGAAGCAAAGCAAAGAAATGGCTCTCTCTGATGATCTAATCAACGCTGCTTTGATTTTTTTTGGACTAAACTCTAAAGCCTTTCTGTTTGTATTCTCTAAATGTAACTGAAATGAAATGAAATGAAATGTAAATTACGGACGTGAACTAAATCTTATATTTAATTAATTCGGAAGTTGGGCCCCAAATCGGTTGTAGGAAGGGGGAGAGAGCCGCCTGACCGGGCGGCGTGCCGCAGCTCTCTTGTACTCTCTTCTACCAGTGCGTGCTCAGTCAGTCTCCTTTTTTCTTTGTTGTATTTCTTGTTTTTCAACATGTGTTGTTTTGAAAAAAATTCTAATAAAAATTGGAAACTCGCAGAAGGGATGTAGCTAGGGTCAGGGATCCTGTCCTGAGTACTGGCAAAAAAAAAATGAAATATTTTAGACAAATCTCATATTGATTGAGAATAATCTATGATTCATATGAAACATTCAATATTAATAAATTAATAGATAAAACACAAAGAAATGAAGTAGTTTTGGGGGGGAGAACTCTTAAGCATTGTTATAACAACAGAATCGGATCAATGGTTGGGCCAGTAAGATCGTCAAACCAGTTATGATATCGATCTGATCCATTGCACATATGGTTATTGAAGGACCAAACGGTGTTTCACAGTTCATCATAAAACCATGTGAACCACCAATTTAGTTGGTCTGCTTGTTCATATTTTAAGCACACATTTTTTAAAAAGTATTTAACGTAAACTAAGACCATCAAGCCATAATTATTAATTTTATATCTGCTTCCTCTTCTCATATTCCAACCTTGTTCCGACTTTACGTTTAATTAAAAAAAAACTAATTTCTTTTGTGAGATAGCTTGAATGATTTATTAGACATTTTGGTGATGATATGAATCTGAAATTATTTATGGTCAATGATAACTTCATTATGAAATCATTTTATTGTTATATACAAGTCTTGTATGTTATATATCATGAACGGTTCTATGATCGGTTAACCAACATGTTTGTAACAATTAACCACTGAACCATAAACCACCAACTTTTCCGGTTCAGAGCTCTTTAGTTAAAAACGTATGTTCAATACGGAACAGTGCAAATATGAGCGATTACTTGCAAAATCATTATGATATGTACCCAAAAACAAAATCGTATAAGGTATGTCCAAAACAGATAATATCTAGGGCATGAAAAGGATTGAGACGTTACAATAGATGAGCAAGGAAAGTTACTAACTTACTATAGGAACTCTTAAAAAAAAAACTTAGTTTGATGCTCAAAATCGTTGCGCGGTAGTTTTATCTTTTAAATGATTTTATTTCGTAGTTCAATCACACGATGATTTGGTGTTTAGTAATTTGACCGTCGTGTTTGACTTGTAATGGTAGGGAGATGGAGGCCGGAGCTGGGGCCGGAAGGAAGCTCGGAAAACGAAAGCCGGTGGGGTGAGTGAAAGGGAGAGGCAGAGAAGGAAGGAGGTGGGGGAGAAGAGAGAAACAGTCCAACTTGATGGTCTAATCTGATCTACTCTACTCTACTCTACTTTAGGCCTCTCTTCACAAACAAACGCTGCCTTAAGCAAAGCTCCACTGTCTTTTTTTTTATTTCCTACTTTGTTGTTTGCAACTTGGCCCCCTAACTTTTCCCTTATTTGCCCACATAACCCTCCTCCACTCTCTCCAATCTCCACGTACGAATTCCACCCAACACGCGCGCGCACGCACCCAAGAAAAAGAAGAAGAAGAAAAAAGAAAAGAAAAGGCAGCAGTGAGTGGCCACTTATATCCCATCCCACTACAGCTGCTACTCCTACTCTCCGTCTCTCTCTCTCTCAAAACGCGTTTCCTCGTTTCTAGGCTTCTTTCCTTTCCGTTTCGCCATTAACCGAGAGAGAGAGAGAGGATGGAACGGATGATATTTCCTACTAGTACTACTCTTCTCGAGGGAATAACTATGTGGAATAAATAAAAAATCTGATTCGATCGGATAATCGAATGTAAATTTATGTTCGTTCGAAGTTTTGGTTTAGGTTAGATGTTTATCGCTTTCGACGGTCGTGGCGCGATGATGTTATTCATCGCGTTTGACGACCACGGTGAAGTCCAAACATGTGTAGATTGGGCATATTTCATAAATCGTGTGTATTTTGGGAATTTTTTTTTTTTAAACGTGTGTACTTTGGTGGGGAAATATCCTCTTCTTGACTCATCCTTCCACTAGAAAGAGGAAAATAGCCATAGAAAGGTATCTCGATATTCATATTTGTCACGTCGTGTTCAGATACGATAATTTATTATGGAGCGCGCTTCATAGTAGGGTTCGACCCATATAAATATATATTTTTGAAAAAAAAAATTAGAGATATTAACTTTTTCATTATAATATTCAATAAACAAACTATAATATTATATATGTGGTTAAATTATTCAAAAAGTTGATGGTGTCACCTATTTACAAATATATTACAATTAAAATATGAGGTAATAATAAAAGTAAAATCATAAGTAATTTAAGCTAAAATACATGTAATTTAAGCAAAAACATATTGAAAATATGACATGTCGAATCTAAAAGGATATCCATGACCACCCCATATAATCAACAAATATTATCATCCAAAATAAGTAAAAAAGATCGGATAAAACGAATCAAGTTTAATTTGTCAATCCTACCTTCCACTAATAATTCCCTGTCTCCTTCCTTTGCTTTGCTCTCCTTCCTGTCTCTTTCCCTTCACCACCTCTCCTTAGGTTTTCTTTCTTCGTTTGAATTATCATAACATTGAATAGAGCCAATGGCCTTTTCTGGTTTCTAAGCGTTTAAAGCATGCCTGAATTTCCCCAAACCCTAATGGCAATTGGGTCCACGGTCAGGCCATCACTCAAGGTTGAAAATTGGATTAGCCCACATCCATAATTTGATGAATGCACTCTAGTCTCGTTGCCTCCTCCAAAATGGTTTGTTAACCACACTTATATCTCCCTTAAAGAATGCTCATTGACCCTTACAAAATGTTTTTAGTTAGGGTGGGGCAAGACAACAATGAGTAGTTCGCTCCAGTAATCCGTTATATTGAGAGCATAATTTTGGCCACAATTGAAATGGAGCCTGGAAGCCAATCCGAACCGGCACTTCAGCTTAAGCCACTTCTAGTCGTGAACTTATTTGGAACAAACAAAAACTTTGGGTTGTTTCTACAAAATTCAAGTTAGATTTTATTGGCGACAAAAAGATGTTAGTTATTTCCATATATCACAACAAAGAGCTAGCTCATTTATCATTAAGTTAAATGGAAACTTTCAAGTTTTGTTTTATAAGTTCTATCTCGCCTTGAACTTGTTTTAACACTTCTATTTGGCATTTACATTTCTCGAGATGAGATCGATTCAAATAATTCGAGTTGTTAATAGAAGTCAAATGACTCACCTACATATCAAGAATTAGTTTATCTCTATTACTCGAATCATTTTTTTATACGATGATGTCGCTGTTATTCAAATTTCGGGGCTACCGACCTTCTGTCTGATGAAGAGAATCGTAAACAATCTCATGTTTGTCGAATCATCCGCTCCACCAGCTAAGGGACCCCTCTTTTGCCAATTACTAAAATCATTAATAAATTAACATCAATATCATATCATTGTCTCGCACAACTTCCACTTACGTTGAAAGTAATGCATATACCATTCTTTAAGTTTCGAACTTAATGGGACAAAGCCAAAAAAGCCAACAACAATATTATCACTAGCTAGAGGATGCGATTGGGTACCTAAACTCTAACCTATGTGGTTTTATATTACCTTGGACAACTGGGCATCGGACCAACTGGAAAAACTGGTGTAAACATACGTTTGTAAGGTCCAGCTTTGGAAGTTGGGGAAATTCCTAAGCTTCAATTTTAGAGGAATGCCGATGAGTGCACATATGGCTGGCTGGATGGATGGAGCTAAACCTTAGCTAGCTCAGCTCCTAGTTTGTTT